TTACAGTAGGCACCTAGTGTGTAGCTAGTATACTAGTGTGTAGCTGTCCAGAGTTAAGATTCTTAATGCCTTAATGCTTTCCCCTGATAAGCCGTGTGTGCTATAAATGACATAACATGACACCGAGGTGAGAAGTGTTGAGGGGAGAGCAGTGGGACTTTCCCCTTTGTTCTCCCTGCTGGGCCCTGAGGGTCAAAATTATATAAGAAATACTATCTCTGTGGGGCTGGGTATCACGGAGGTGAGACATTTTCAGGGGAGGGCAGGGCAGACTCCTCTTTGGTTTTATTGTGGGCTAGATACAGGTGGGGGCAGCCATCATGAACGTCAGTATTAATGTGTCTGATTACTTCCCTGCTGGATTATAAGGGTCTTAAATTGTATAACATTCTACCCAGATTGGTTATTACCCATGGATTATATTAGCCGTTGTAGTGTGGGTTTTGTAGGAGTTAAGTGGTCTAACGTTTGCTACAGTAGATAACCTCTAATATATTACTGCATTTGATCAGCTTCGTCTACTTAAACTCTAAACGCAAACGGTATTACTAACAGTATTTTTATTTAGAAATTTCGGCCACATATTTATATTATCCACGAAACTGTCAATAACTGTATAAGGATCTTCAATTCCTAAGAGTTCAAGTTTTTAAACATATTTTTCCTTTTCCGCGGGCGCGATTCTTTACATACGGTGAACACGTCCAGCGCTGGTGAACACGTCCAGCGCTGGCGAACAGCTGATTGTGTTTACGTCTGATGTACACCACTGTGGCGGCGGGCGTAGGTATCACGTGATTTAGGTCACGTGTTTGCAAGGACTCTATAAGTCGGGGCCCTTTTGACGGGGCTATTTTGACTGGGTCGTTTTGTCGGGGGTCGATTTGACGGGGTCAAATTAACGGGGCCGTTTTGACGGGGCCGATTTGTCCCAGGCCGTTTTGACAGGGCACCACTATATACTAACCATAAACTATAGTTCTAGACTAGATCTAGGGGCCTATAATATATACTATATATTGTTTATAATATTATACAATTAATATTAATCAGAGCAATTTTATTTTTTAGTCTACTTAATATGTATTTAAGTATTTATATCTGGGCTGCTAAATAAAGCGGTTGATTGTAGAGTACATTTAAAAATTAACTTATCTTGTCAGTTCTTAGTTTTTGGTAGACCTCTGTCTCCGGCCTCTGTATCTACCAACTGACCACACACTGAGCCTTCAACCAATGACCACAGGGCGCTATGTGAACACATTTGTTTTTACACACAACAGTTAGTGAACTCCTGTTTTTAAATTGACCAATGACTGTCCGCTTTTTATCAATGAAGTATTAGAGAAAAATAACTGTGTTATAAATTAAATAAATAGATCAGCACTTGCCCCCGATATGTGACCCCGTTACTACACTCACACAACACACACCTGTGAGGTGTTATTTCACGCAGATCAGCCGTTTATATCGTTTAATTTAAATATAATTGAATAAAACATTTAATACAAAGTAAGATCGTTTGAAATTCAATCTAAAAAAAAAAATTTGATACGGGAATCAAAGGGCAGATAGTTCTAGCTACCTGTGGGTGGGAAAGGTAGTTCTAACTACCTGAGGGTGTGGGTGGGGCAGGTAGTTCTAGATACCTGTGTGTGGGGCAGGTAGTTCTAGCTAACTGTGTGTGGGGCAGGTAGTTTTAGCTAAATGTGGTTGGGGAGGTAGTTCTAGCTAAATGTGGTTGGGGAGGTAGTTCTAGCTAAATGTGGGTGGGGAGGTATTTCTAGCTACCTATGGGTGGGGAGGTAGTTCTAGCTACCTGTGGGTGGGGAGGTAGTTCTAGCTAAATGTGGGTGGGGCAGGTAGTTCTAGCTAAATGTGTGTGGGACAGGTAGTTCTAGCTAAATGTATGTGTGGGTGGGGCAGATAGTGCTAGCTACCTGTGGGTGTGGCAGGTAGTTCTAGCCAAAATTTGTGGGGCAGGTAGTTCTAGCTAAATATGTGTGGGGCGGGTAGTTCTAGCTAAATGTGGTTGGGGAGGTAGTTCTAGCTAAATGTGGGTGGGGAGGTATTTCTAGCTACCTGTGGGTGGGGAGGTAGTTCTAGCTACCTGTGGGTGGGGAGGTAGTTCTAGCTAAATGTGTGTGGGGCAGGTAGTTCTAGCTAAATGTATGTGTGGGTGGGGCAGATAGTGCTAGCTACCTGTGGGTGTGGCAGGTAGTTCTAGCCAAAATTTGTGGGGCAGGTAGTTCTAGCTAAATATGTGTGGGGCGGGTAGTTCTAGCTACCTGTGGGTGTGGGTGGGGCAGGTAGTTCTAGCTACCTGAGGGTGTTAGTGGGGCAGGTAGTTCTAGCTAAATGTGGGTGGGGCAGGTAGTTCTAGCTACCTGAGGGTGTGGGTGGGGCAGGTAGTTCTAGCAAAGGACCCCTACCCCTATATATATCCTATAAATACATATTTATGCTTGTATATATATATCTTTATATGTATATATATATATATATATATATATATATATATATATATATATATATATACATGCATATATATATACATGCATATATATATATGCATGTATATATATATATATATATATATATATATATATATATATATATATATATATATATATATATATATATATATATATATATATATACATGCATATATATATATATATATATATATATATATATATATATATATATATATATATATATATATATATATATATATATATATATATATACATAGAAATACATAGAAATACATATTTATGTATATATATATATATATATATATATATATTATATATGAGTTTATACATAAGGAAAAATGTTTGAACCCCTCCCATCAACACTTCCTAGCTACGCCACTGTCCTAACATGGGGCCTAGGCTGATCACATTTGTAGCCTTAGCTGTTCGTATTCTTCTTCTGCTTTTTCTCAATCTGGTGCTCCACACTCCCACGCTTACCACATTTAAACACTTGAACACTTAAAACTTAAGCACTTAAACACATAAACACGTAAACACTTAAACACATACACTTAAACACTTAAACACTTACACACTTAAACACTTAAACACTTAAACACATAGATACTTAAATACTTAAACGCCAGTACTTAATTATGTTAACCCGTTTATTTCCGCGAATGGGTTACCGAAAAAATAAATATTGCTATTATATCCTGTATAGTGTAAAAGATGCTTATTTAATTAATTCAGTTAACTTTCTCACTTATTTTGTCAAATTAACTCAAGCGATAACTTTAATCTTAAACCTAAAATCTGACCTTTAACTTCTAATCCTGAACCCTAACGCGAACCCAATCCCTTACCCATTCACCTACCCCTTATCCCAAACTCCTGCGCCTAAACCACTAACCCTAACAATAATTTAGATATAATGCGGTAATAAATTATATTATTTATGCCGTGTTTCAAAAACAAAAAGTTCCTACCAGCTGCCAACATTCCGGTATACCACGCCGACAGTCGAAACATTTCTTTTTACTTTCTCGTATATACGAAGTATAGAGAAAGTATTGTAATCGTGCACTGATACGGAAAAACATAATTTTGAAATCTTGTCCGTATGTCTGTGTGTCTGTCTGTGTGTCTGTCTGTCTGTCTGTGTGTAAACACGATAACTTGAGTACCGTTACAGCTAGGTTGATGAAATTTCATATATAAGTATATTATCAACTTTTGAGCGATTTCCGATAAACGGAAGTGATACTTTTTCTACTTTGAATTTTTCAAAAGCCTATAACTTGAGTACTATTTCAGATAGATAAATGAAATTTCACGTGTAAGTAAAAGATCTAATTCTCTACCTTTTTTCAAATTTTGAGTAATTTCCGTTGACCGGAAGTACTATTTTACGCTATTTCTGATTTCTCAAAAGCGAATGTAAATTTATAAAGTACTAATAATATTGCGTAATATTATGCACATTTTGTTTTGGCGTTCGCTTGGTTCGCAATTCTTTTTTCTATGAGATTCTATTCTATTTTTAAAAGTTTAAGTAATTAAAAATCATATAAGAATATTCGAGAAAGTTTAGGGGAGAACATTCCCGGTTTATTTTAATATAGCAATTTATAAAATCAGTAAAGCTTGCTACCTAAAAAAATTAAAATATGTTTCTCTATTAAACGTCAATTTAAAAAAAGACTAAATATAGATAATTGTTTATTTCGTCTACGACGAGCGGTATAAGCATTCCACACGTAAACCTATACTGTTTAAAAAAAATGGCAAAATGATTTTCTTCGCTTCCGTTTCTGATCATTTCTGATAATACCTCATTTAAACTTTCAAACGTTTTTTATTTGTTTAGATGGCTTATAACGGGAATTTATGTCCAAGGGATTTCGTCTGGAAGACAGGGGTGGGGTATGACACGGGATTTTGTTTAACAGACACCTCTAAACACCAGCGACAAAATACATATCTAACGACTACATAACGTGTTTTGGTATCTTCATATACATCTTGTGTTCCGCAGTCCCAACATGACAGTGTAAGACCAAGCATTACTTATTGTACAACAGTACAACATCATTTTTAGAAAGGTTCCTAAAATATTTGACATTACCAACACATTACTTTAGATGTATGACTTAAACCAATAGTTACCTACAACATTAGACTTTCCAAACACATGCCCTTAAATATATGACTTGAACCTCTAGTTACCTACAACACATGACCTCAAATATATGACTTAAACCTTTTGTTACCTACAACACATGACCTCAAATATATGACTTAAACCTTTTGTTACCTACAACACATGACCTCAAATATATGACTTAAACCACTTGCTACTTACAATGCATACAGACACTGAATAACACCTGTCCAAATATAATAATTACCTTGCCGAAGCAGCCACATTAGCATAGCTTCAAATAGATAAACTTACCATACCTTTTCCTCTCACAAGACCCACTCACTATTCTGACAATAAAATATAGAAGCGAAAACATGAAACGTTAGTAATTCAAAAAGAATATTGAAACCCACTAATGAGCATTAGTCAAATTAGAAAGACGAAAGGGATTTAATTTATACAATGTTATTGCGCAAGTAGCATTTTATTTTTCAAAGTCTTATATAAAGAAAGTTTAAAACTACAATAAACGTTAGCTACATTTGTGTCATTTGACGGTATATATATATATATATATATATATATATATATATATATATATATATATATATATATATATATATATATATATATATATTTGTGTCTAAGTACGTATATATATATATATATATATATATATATATATATATATATATATATATATATATATATAGTTTACTGAATAAACGTTTCGTTCAATTTTTCAGAAAAATACTAGAACAAAATGCATTGGACGTATTTTTGTTTATTCCTCCAAATATTGTTGGTCTCGGCCCAAAACAGTTTGACTAGTACGTTTTAAACGTTTTTTTGTTCATTGATTTACAGTTCATATAGAAATTTTAGAGCTACTTTTGCTTATACTATGTCTGTATGAGCGCCTAAAAGTTATTAACAAAGACATTATTTTTTTTTTAAATAAAGTTTCAAATTAATGTTTAAAAATGTTTTGCAGGAACTGACTCCACTACTAGCCTAACTCCATGCCTAACCAAATACCAAATGAACTTAAGAAATAAATTGTGTTGTAATCCCCAGACACCTGCTACACGGACCTGGGATGTTTCTCTATCAGCCCACCTTTTGGCTTTACCCTGCAAAGACCCCTAGCTCTCCTGCCTCAGTCACCTGAATGGATCCGGTAATTTATAAAATATAAGCCATAACCACATTTAAGTTAAACATGGATAATTCATATTTAAACCCATCGTCTAATGCAATGAATTATTTTTTATATAAATTTGAACGATGATTATGTTAATTAGGATTTGGGAATGGGGGGTTCACTATAATTTTGTGGATACGACTTATCAAAATAATAAAAAGAATTGATTTTTTTTAAAAATGAATAAACACTCTAATAACATCTTTATATTAAATAATAATCTGTCACATCTAATTATTTATTATTCTTTAAACATTTGGTACTGATTTTGTAAAATACATATTTTTTTTAATCAACATACTTAAAGTTTTGAGCTTGTATTTTATATTCCCCTAACACTTTGCCCAAATGTAATTTTAGAATTACTTATTCCCCGAATAGTATATCTGGTTGTTGCCATCCCCTATTGTTTACCCACCAACATTTCCCCCAGCACCCTGTTCAAGCTGTACACCCGAGCCCAACCGGCAACTCCACTAGACCTGCCAGCCACACAAGTCAAGACCAGCCTCACCACCATCTGGCCAGGTTTTGTCTCACGACCGACCAAAATTATCGTACACGGATTTCTCGACTGGGTTGAATTATCAAGCTGGGGAAAGGTCAGTGAAGCTTTAATTTAGCACCGAAAAATCATATCAATCTAACTTTAAATTATTGATTGATTTTTTAATGTAAAGCTGATTTTTTAAAAACACGTTAAGAGCTATTCAAAAAAACTAATTTTTCCATCATCAATCTTTTTATTATGAGGGTTATAATACATTAAAACCATTTATGTATCGTTTTTGTATTTAAGTTTGTTTTCGGCTAATTGAATTATCTGTATATGTGTCTACTGTTTCAATTATCTCCCGTGTTCTTTTAATTATCCCCCCTGTTGTATAAATTATCTACCCTATTGTTGTTTCAGCTGATGAAGGACGAGCTGTTGAAACAGGGAGACTACAACGTCATCCTTGTTGACTGGTCAGGGGGCAAAAAGCCGCCCTACACCCAGGCCACAGCCAATACAAGAGTCGTAGGGGCTCAGATAGCTCAGCTCATCAACCAAATCAGTGTACGTACATTTTATTTTAACAGCCAATACAAGAGTCGTAGGGGCTCAGATAGCTCAACTCATCAACCAGATCAGTGTACGTACATTTTATTATAACAGCCAATACAAGAGTCGTAGGGGCTCAGATAGCTCAACTCATCAACCAAATCAGTGTACGTACATTTTATTTTAACAGCCAATACAAGAGTCGTAGGGGCTCAGATAGCTCAGCTCATCAACCAAATCAGTGTACGTACATTTTATTTTAACAGCCAATACAAGAGTCGTAGGGGCTCAGATAGCTCAACTCATCAACCACATCAGTGTACGCTGCTTATTTGGTGTATTAATTTATTATTATTTTAAAGCTTAGGATTTCAAGTTATTTCATCCAGGATGAAGTATTAAAAAGTATCCTTTCAAACCTTACCTTCCATTTGTGAGGCAAATATATCAATTCTCGTGACTTAGGACATGTACCCATTACAGCTGAGTTAACCCATTTACGTACTAAAAATTTCAGTCTGCCATTTTGAACTAGCTAGAGAGCACTTACTCTTGTTTACTATTGGGTTATTTAGTTTTTAATGGCAAGGTATTTATGCTATGAAAGAAAATGCGAGCAAGTTTAGGCAAGATCGCTCACGCTTTAAAAAATCTGCTTTCACAGGATGTTTACAGCACATCGGTCGAAAACTTCCACATTATCGGTCACAGTCTGGGCTCCCACGTCGCAGGGTACGCTGGGGAGAGGGTGCCAGGCTTGGGGAGGATTACAGGTAGGTTGGTGAGTGGGGAGGGTTACGGGTAGGTTGGTGAGTGGGGAGGATTACAGGTAGGTTGGTGAGTGGGGAGGGTTACGGGTAGGTTGGTGAGTGGGGAGGATTACAGGTAGGTTGGTGAGTGGGGAGGTTTACTGGTAGGTTGGTGAGTGGGGAGGGTTACAGGTAGGTTGGTGAGTGGGGAGGATTACAGGTAGGTTGGTGGGTGGGGAGTTTTAAGGTAGGTTGGTGGGTGGGGAGGTTTACAGGTAGGTTGGTGAGTAGGGAGGTTTACAGGTAGGTTGGTGAGAGGGTTGGATTACAGGTAGGTTGGTGAGTGTGGAGGGTTACAGATAGGTTGGTGAGAGGGGAGGATTACAGGTAGGTTGGTGGGTGGGGAGGTTTACAGGTAGGTTGGTGAGTGGATTACAGGTAGGTTGGTGAGTAGGGAGGTTTACAGGTAGGTTGGTGGTTGGGGGGTTACATGTAGGTTGGTGAGTGGGGAGGAATACAGATAGGTTGGTGAATGGGGAGGTTTACAGGTAGGTTGGTGGTTGGGGAGGTTTACAGGTAGGTTGGTGAGTGGGGATTACAGGTAGGTTGGTGGGAGGGGATTACAGGTAGATTGGTGAGTAGGGAGGATTACAGTTAGGTTTAGTGGGAGGGGATTAGAGGTAGGTTGGTGGGAGGGGAGGGTTACAGGTAGGTTGGTGAGTGGGTCATATGAGAATTAAGTAGAAAAGTAAAACGCATGGTTGCTAGATAAATTTGAAGGCCCTCAAACAAATGTGGCCCTGTCCATGTAACATAGCAGTCACTGGTTATAGACTATTTGTATAAATGGAGCTAAATATTTCTATTTGAGAAACTTCTCAAATCGAGAGTTCGGGACTGCTACCTACCTCCCCCCCCCCCTCTCCCAAAATGCACGTGATCATTGTGATGATTAAAGATAATTAGGATAGAGTTAATCTAGAAATAATTTAAATTCAATGATGCGTCTGTTATTTCCATTGCTTGTTTGGAGTTGTTGTTTTTTTAACTGACAAGGTATTTGCAAAAGACAGAAAATTAAAATATTTATATGGCAATATATTATATATTATTATATATTATACTAAATATTTATTGTGAATCTTGTCATTTATTAGTAACACCATCTCATAGAGACATGACTTTTTATTTATCTTTTATAACAATAATAAAAATCTTAGAATTGGTAACATTATATTTCAAAATAAACATCATTTACAAAGTATGTTTTCTCATGATTATGTATTTAATTTATATCTACGTTGTTCTTTTTTAAATAAAATGCAAGTCATAAAAAAGACAGAACAAATATCAAAATAACCGAGAATCATATAATGCACTTTAAAAGTTCTGAATAAATATATAATAAATAAGATTTGACAGGGACCACTTCATTGTTGTATATTCCATAGGTTTGGACCCCGCCGGCCCATACTTTGAGAACACTCCAGCCAGCGTCAGACTCGACCCCACTGACGCCTTGTTTGTTGACGTCATCCACACTGACGCGGGGACTCTTCTCACGTTAAGTATGTGACTCCTTTTAAATAGTTCGTCGAGTAAACTAAGCGAGAGTAAGCAAACTTAAAACTCTCATAGATGTGTATAGAACAGAGAAGGTTGGGATATAGTACTTGTAGCATCCAACAATGGTAGGAAAGTTTGGGAATAGACCGATTGGTTTTCGAAATAAAAAACAATTAAAGACCAATATAAAGAAATAGTTCGCCCAGAGAATGTAATCAAATGTAGCCTACAGCCAGTAACAATAATAAATAGTTCGTTCAGTACATACTTTCATATTTTCAGTAATTTTTTAACTAAACATCAATATATCCATTTATCTCTTAACTAAGCAGCAATATATCCATCGTCTATAGTAAAACTATAAATACAATGAGGTCTTATATTAATATATATATATATATATATATATATATATATATATATATATATATATATATATATATATAGTAGAAGACGTACCATTTTACAATTTGTCTAGTAGTCTGCACTGTAAAATCACATCATTCTTATGTAAAAACTTGTAATTTGACATTCTCTCACACACAGACCTGGGCATCATGCAGACCGTAGGTCACGCTGACTTTTACGCAAATTTTGGACATAACCAGCCTGGATGTATCCAGTCTCCAATAACAACCATCCAACAATGGGGGCTTGATGGTAGGTGTGGGGGCTTGATGGTAGGTGTGGTGGGGGCTTGATGGTAGGTGTGGGGGCTTGATGGTAGGTGTGGGGGCTTGATGGTAGGTGTGGGGGCTTGATGGTAGGTGTGGTGGGGGCTTGATGGTAGGTGTGGGGGATTGATGGTAGGTGTGGTGGGGGCTTGATGGTAGGTGTGGGGGATTGATGGTAGGTGTGGTGGGGGCTTGATGGTAGGTGTGGGGGCTTGATGGTAGGTGTGGGGGATTGATGGTAGGTGTGGGGGATTGATGGTAGGTTTGGGGGCTTGATGGTAGGTGTGGGGGATTGATGGTAGGTGTGGGGGATTGATGGTAGGTGTGGTGGGGGCTTGATGGTAGGTGTGGGGGCTTGATGGTAGGTTTGGGGGCTTGATGGTAGGTGTGGGGGATTGATGGTAGGTGTGGTGGGGGCTTGATGGTAGGTTTGGGGGCTTGATGGTAGGTGTGGGGGATTGATGGTAGGTGTGGGGGATTGATGGTAGGTTTGGGGGCTTGATGGTAGGTGTGGGGGATTGATGGTAGGTGTGGGGGATTGATGGTAGGTGTGGTGGGGGCTTGATGGTAGGTGTGGGGGCTTGATGGTAGGTTTGGGGGCTTGATGGTAGGTGTGGGGGCTTGATGGTAGGTGTGGTGGGGGCTTGATGGTAGGTGTGGGGGCTTGATGGTAGGTGTGGGGGCTTGATGGTAGGTGTGGTGGGGGCTTGATGGTAGGTGTGGGGGCTTGATGGTAGGTGTGGGGGCTTGATGGTAGGTGTGGTGGGGGCTTGATGGTAGGTGTGGGGGCTTGATGGTAGGTGTGGGGGCTTGATGGTAGGTGTGGTGGGGGCTTGATGGTAGGTGTGGGGGCTTGATGGTAGGTGTGGGGGCTTGATGGTAGGTGTGGTGGGGGCTTGATGGTAGGTGTGGGGGCTTGATGGTAGGTGTGGGGGCTTGATGGTAGGTGTGGTGGGGGCTTGATGGTAGGTGTGGGGGCTTGATGGTAGGTGTGGGGGCTTGATGGTAGGTGTGGTGGGGGCTTGATGGTAGGTGTGGGGGCTTGATGGTAGGTGTGGGGGCTTGATGGTAGGTGTGGTGGGGGCTTGATGGTAGGTGTGGGGGCTTGATGGTAGGTGTGGGGGCTTGATGGTAGGTGTGGGGGCTTGATGGTAGGTGTGGGGGCTTGATGGTAGGTAAGGTGGGGGCTTGATGGTAGGTGTGGGGGCTTGATGGTAGGTGTGGGGGATTGATGGTAGGTGTGGGGGATTGATGGTAGGTGTGGGGGATTGATGGTAGGTTTTGGGCTTGATAGTAGGTGTGAGAGCTTGATGGTAGGTTTGGGGGCTTGATGGTAGGTGTGGGGGATTGATGGTAGGTGTGGGGGATTGATAGTAGGTGTGAGAGCTTGATGGTAGGTGTGGGGGCTTGATGGTAGGTGTGGGGGATTGATGGTAGGTGTGGGGGATTGATGGTAGGTGTGGGGGATTGATGGTAGGTTTGGGGCTTGATAGTAGGTGTGAGAGCTTGATGGTAGGTTTGGGGGCTTGATGGTAGGTGTGGGGGATTGATGGTAGGTGTGGGGGATTGATAGTAGGTGTGAGAGCTTGATGGTAGGTGTAGGGGCTTGATGGTAGGTGTGGGGGATTGATGGTAGGTGTGTGGGATTGATGGTAGGTGTGGGGGATTGATGGTAGGTGTGGGGGATTGATGGTAGGTTTGGGGGCTTGATAGTAGGTGTGAGAGCTTGATGGTAGGTTTGGGGGCTTGACGGTAGGTGTGGGGGATTGATGGTATGTGTGGGGGATTGATGGTAGGTGTGGGGGCTTGATAGTAGGTGTGAGAGCTTGATGGTAGGTTTGGGGGCTTGATGGTAGGTGTGGGGGATTGATGGTAGGTGTGGGGGATTGATGGTAGGTGTGGGGGCTTGATAGTAGGTGTGAGAGCTTGATGGTAGGTTTGGGGGCCTGATGGTAGGTGGGGGGATTGATGGTAGGTGTGGGGGATTTATGGTAGGTTTGGGGGCTTGATGGTAGGTGTGGGGGATTGATGGTAGGTGTGGGGGATTGATGGTAGGTGTGGTGGGGGCTTGATGGTAGGTGTGGGGGCTTGATGGTAGGTTTGGGGGCTTGATGGTAGGTGTGGGGGCTTGATGGTAGGTGTGGTGGGGGCTTGATGGTAGGTGTGGGGGCTTGATGGTAGGTGTGGGGGCTTGATGGTAGGTGTGGTGGGGGCTTGATGGTAGGTGTGGGGGCTTGATGGTAGGTGTGGGGGCTTGATGGTAGGTGTGGTGGGGGCTTGATGGTAGGTGTGGGGGCTTGATGGTAGGTGTGGTGGGGGCTTGATGGTAGGTGTGGGGGCTTGATGGTAGGTGTGGGGGCTTGATGGTAGGTGTGGTGGGGGCTTGATGGTAGGTGTGGGGGATTGATGGTAGGTGTGGTGGGGGCTTGATGGTAGGTGTGGTGGGGGCTTGATGGTAGGTGTGGGGGCTTGATGGTAGGTGTGGTGGGGGCTTGATGGTAGGTGTGGGGGCTTGATGGTAGGTGTGGGGGCTTGATGGTAGGTGTGGTGGGGGCTTGATGGTAGGTAAGGTGGGGGCTTGATGGTAGGTGTGGGAGCTTGATGTTAGGTAGGTGTGGGGGCTTGATGGTAGGTGTGGTGGGGGCTTGTTGGTAGGTGTGGGGGCTTGATAGTAGGTGTGAGAGCTTGATGGTAGGTTTGGGGGCTTGATGGTAGGTGTGGGGGATTGATGGTAGGTGTGGGGGCTTGATAGTAGGTGTGAGAGCTTGATGGTAGGTTTGGGGGCTTGATGGTAGGTGTGGGGGATTGATGGTAGGTGTGGGGGATTGATGGTAGGTGTGGGGGATTGATAGTAGGTGTGAGAGCTTGATGGTAGGTGTGGGGGCTTGATGGTAGGTGTGGGGGATTGATGGTAGGTGTGGGGGATTGATGGTAGGTGTGGGGGATTGATGGTAGGTGTGGGGGATTGATGGTAGGTTTGGGGGCTTGATAGTAGGTGTGAGAGCTTGATGGTAGGTTTGGGGGCTTGATGGTAGGTGTGGGGGATTGATGGTAGGTGTGTGGGATTGATGGTAGGTGTGGGGGATTGATAGTAGGTGTGAGAGCTTGATGGTAGGTGTGGGGGCTTGATGGTAGGTGTGGGGGATTGATGGTAGGTGTGGGGGATTGATGGTAGGTGTGGGGGATTGATGGTAGGTGTGGGGGATTGATGGTAGGTTTGGGGGCTTGATAGTAGGTGTGAGAGCTTGATGGTAGGTTTGGGGGCTTGATGGTACGTGTGGGGGATTGATGGTAGGTGTGGGGGATTGATGGTAGGTGTGGGGGATTGATGGTAGGTGTGGGGGCTTGATAGTAGGTGTGAGAGTTTGATGGTAGGTTTGGGGGCTTGATGGTAGGTGTGGGGGATTGATGGTAGGTGTGGGGGATTGATGGTAGGTGTGGGGGCTTGATAGTAGGTGTGAGAGCTTGATGGTAGGTTTGGGGGCTTGATGGTAGGTGTGGGGGATTGATGGTAGGTGTGGGGGATTGATGGTAGGTTTGGGGGCTTGATGGTAGGTGTGGGGGATTGATGGTAGGTGTGGGGGATTGATGGTAGGTGTGGGGGATTGATAGTAGGTGTGAGAGCTTGATGGTAGGTGTGGGGGCTTGATGGTAGGTGTGGGGGATTGATGGTAGGTGTGGGGGATTGATGGTAGGTGTGGGGGATTGATGGTAGGTGTGGGGGATTGATGGTAGGTTTGGGGGCTTGATAGTAGGTGTGAGAGCTTGATGGTAGGTTTGGGGGCTTGATGGTAGGTGTGGGGGATTGATGGTAGGTGTGGGGGATTGATGGTAGGTGTGGGGGCTTGATAGTAGGTGTGAGAGCTTGATGGTAGGTTTGGGGGCTTGATGGTAGGTGTGGGGGATTGATGGTAGGTGTGGGGGATTGATGGTAGGTGTGGGGGCTTGATAGTAGGTGTGAGAGCTTGATGGTAGGTTTGGGGGCTTGATGGTAGGTGTGGGGGATTGATGGTAGGTGTGGGGGATTGATGGTAGGTGTGGGGGATTGATGGTAGGTGTGGGGGCTTGATAGTAGGTGTGAGAGCTTGATGGTAGGTTTGGGGGCCTGATGGTAGGTGTGGGGGCTTGGTGGTAGGTGTGATGTCCAGTCAAGCGCTTTTTTAAAATTAATATATCAGATAAACAAAGTGCGTATTTATATATAAAATTATATACATACATATATATATATGTATATATATATATATATAAATATATATATATATATATATATATATATATATGTTTGTATGTGTGTGTGTGTGTGCGTGTGTGTATGCCGAGGTCAAGAATGATATGAACTCAACTCTGTCTGCCCAATTGCTTTCTTTTTCTAAAGAGAAATCTTTACTTATACACACGCACACAAATGTATATATATATATAAATATATATATATATATATATATATATATATATATATATATATATATATATATATATATATATATATATATATATATATATATATATATATATATATATATATATATATATATATAAATATATATATATATATATATATATATATATATATATATATATATATATATATATAGATATATATATATATATATATATATATATATATATATATATATATATATAATTGTGTTCACATCCAAGGCTTCGGTGACCTCGTGATCTGTAACCACATGCGAGCCTTCCGCCTGTTTACAGAGAGCATCAACTCCAGCTGTCGCTTCAAGAGTTATCCTTGTGCTAGTGAACTCAACTTCATGGTGAGTGGTTTGGAGCGGTAGATATTAAGGTGTCGTGTACAAATTTTCTTAAAAATTAAGTCAAATATCTGTATACAAATATTCATATATCAATAAATATGTATATATATATGTATATATATATATATATATATATATATATATATATATATATATATATATATATATATATATATATATATATATATATATATATATATATATATATATATATATATATATATATATATATATATGTATATATATATAAGTATTTATAAATATAAATATATAATAAAATATGACTATTTGTGTGTGTGTGTGTGTGTTTATTATGTTATAACATTCTTATGTTAGCGTCTTTGATAGACGCACACTATGAGACTACTAAATATGAAACAGCGTAGGCTTGAAGTAGAGCGCACGATTACAAGTAGTTTCGAATTCTGTTCAAAGTTTGCGTCTGTGTGACGCCGCTGTTTCCATTCTTCCCCTCTAAAGTGTAACTGAACCGTGTCGGGGACAGTAAAGGTGACTAGTGCTGACCACACTATCTTTGTATGTGCCACGTTTGTCAAATCAGACTGTCGGAATTTGAATTTTTCAACATCCGTCTGTGCAGTTAAACACCGTGATTGTGTGTCGTTTAATTTACTGCGTTTTGATATTGGACTGGATTTGAAACAAAAGTTGATTTAATAAGCACAATAAAAATGTACTACTTTTTATGTAGCTATAAGTAAAATCATGGTTCACAACATTTATCTACCCTTCGCTAAATATAAATATGATTACAAAAGATGATCCATATACTACTACGGAGTAATATAGTCCACTTATATATCATTACTCGTGTACACAAATACTGCAACTTCTGGTGAGTAGGGGGACGGAGGTAGAGAGCTGGACTGCTAACCCCTAAGTCTCGAGTTCGAAGTCAGTAGAAACAAGTGAAGTAGAGTTCACTATAGACCGTCAGGTTTGAAAGGGAACTTTATTTTTACTCGTTAGTATTAAGGGGGTAGGCTCCAGAAAAAACCAACTTCTTAAGTAAAACCTTTTATTGATTCATTTGTGTATATCCAACTTAGGGTACTTGAAGGAAAATATTTCCATGCATCAGGGACTTTTTTGAAAATATGGTTGCCATGGCAACGGCGGCCATCTTGAAAAAAACATCATTTTCTGGAGTTCTAAAATTTCATAATTTCATAAATTTTTTTCTGGAGCCTATCCCCTTAATATGTACTGTCAGTAAAATTTAAATAGAAATAAATAGAAATACTATTAATAATTGACGTTGTAATTAATATTTTTAATTAATTTAACATGTAATTTTTTCAAAGTTAATTTCATAATGTATTGTCAACTGATCCTGACCTATGTGTCAAATCGACATTTCGGTCGCCAGCTTTCACATTCGACTGTCGAGTCCCCAAAGAAGAAGCAATTGAAATAAAATCTTGTATACCTCCCCATCCCCTCCCCAGCTGGGCTGGTGTAACACATGTGGTGTGTCAGGCTGTGCCAACCTGGGATTCTGGGCCAAGCCAACGCCTGCTGGAAAATTTTTCCTGAAGACTGCTGGAAATCCGCCATTTTGTTTGGCTTAGTTCCTGGCAGAATACCATATTAAACAAAAAAAATAAAATATCCAACTTTTTGTTGCTTGTGTAATGAATGTGTTAGATTTATAAATGTCAGATGAAAACATATAATCAAGGTACTCATACATAAAGAATAACATAACTAACCTGTCTTACACGAAAGAACCAAGAAAATATTATGGTTTGTATATAACTGTGTTGGGGGGTTTTCAGTTTTTGCAGTACCACGACACATCATCATGCAGCAATCTGGCATTGACACTACGGGTGTAGACTGTTCTCCAGTTTCCTGACAATACATGCAAAGTTAGCCTACTGTTATTTGACATTAATTACTAGCGCTTTAAGGTACAGCTAGTTAAGGTACACCGGCCATGTTATTGAATTAGCTAATTGGACGTCATTTGTGTGTGGTCTATTAAATTTTTGTGGACGTTAGCATCAAAGGTGCGGGGTGGTGTTGGTTGATGACGTAACACCTGAGGGCTGGGTAAGTGACTTTTATCAAGATGGTGCAGGGGGGGGGGTGCGCTTTTTTGCTAAATAAATCGCAAGGATTTACACTGGATTGGTTAGTAGATAACCTTTATCATTGAGAAAAGAAACTAATTGTATTAAATCGCATTTTACGCATGTAAAAATCGAACCTGGCTTATAAATGTATGTATATATTGAACCTGTCTGATAAATGTATGTAAAAATCGAACCTGTCTTGTAAATGTATGTAAAAATCGAACCTGGCTTATAAATGTATGTATATATTGAACCTGTCTGATAAATGTATGTAAAAATCGAACCTGTCTTGTAAATGTATGTAAAAATGGAGCTTATCTTATAAATTAATGTAAAAACCTGTCTTATAATGTATGTAAAAATCGAACCTGGCATAAATGTATCGTGTGGGTTTGGTTTGAGTGATATGGACTAATATCTCTTTGCAGAGTAAATTGAGAAAACTTTTATCGTATTCTATAGTGTGAATCATGTCACTTTGTTTTGCAGATACAAAATCACCTAAACACAGTTACGATAAATACGCTGTGATTACATTGTGGAGTCATTTAGTTGTTAATATTTTTAAAACTAAAATGTATGTCTATTTAAACAAGTGTTTGATACACTTCCCATTTAGTTTTAGTTATAGTGTAAGGGAAATTACTCTCAAAGTATTCCCTTAGTCAAAATAAATATAATGGACAACGCTAGTAGGTACAAATAACCAAATTCGCCACTGGTTTTTACACTTAATATGTTTAAAAAAAAGATTTGTTAGACAAAAATATGAACGTATTGGTGCACTACTTACAATAAAATATAATGCTGTTCCGTATTTCACATTTTTAAACGCTATTAATATTTTCAACAAATTTTGTAGTTATTCGAAATAATCAAGTTCATCAGAGTTCCCTAGCCCTAACCCTAACTTTACCTCTTTTACATTTTTTTATATAAAAAAAAAATTTATAAAACAACTGAGTTAATAAAAAAAAACTGAGGACTGTATAGATATAGATGTTTGAAAGGGAAGAATATACATATTTTATGTGTCTCATTGTAATAACATAACTTTTCCGATTGCTTAAAATTTGTATCATATCAATTCTCTGTAATCCCAAATTTATTTCAGCTCTACTTAAAAACCCAAATTCCACCCTCTCTCCCCCCCCCCCCGTCCTCCGTCCCCTCAGCCCACCACGCCGGGGGAAAAAATCCCTTGAATCATCATTTAATTACACATTTGCATTTCCAGTTTCAGGTTGGTTTTTATTTTTTTGTATTTATATCTTATTATGTTTAGACGTTTTGTATTAGATCTATGTGTAAGTAAACCATCTTAAATGAATGAAAGCAGGCTACAAGTAAGAAATGTTACTATTGTAAATCTGTATCAGTCCTCACAAGCCGATGATGAAAACTGTAATACTAAAGCGAACACACAACTGACGCTGTAAATTACATGTCTGAGGCCAAAAAAAAAAAAAAAAAAAAAAAAAAAAAAAAAAAAAAAAAAAAAAAAAAAAAAACCTTTGCACTTTAGTTATAGGCCTATATTTAAAATTGCAATTAGACGTTTTGTATTATGTAGGTGAATAAAAGTACATGTGAGAAAAAAAAAATAAAAAAAATAAAACCCGCCGATCCAATTCAAAGTAATAAAGTTACTTATTGGTAAGAAAAAAAAGTTAAAAAAAAAACAAATTCAAAGTAATAATTTTTTTTTCCAAAAAAAAAACAACAACAACCCCAACCACTCTGTGGTAGGTAAAGCGGAGTTGACCTGTTCAGTGACGTCCTGCGAACTCGATCCAACATATTTGAAATGAAATCACATTCTAGAAGCCATTTTAATGTGATTATGTTACCTTAAAAATATTGATCAGATTAAAACCATTGTACTAGTCCAACCTGAGACATCCGATAAGATTACTTCAGTCAACTTTGTATCTCTTTAAAAAATTGCTAATGATTAGTTTTACTGGAAATAAAAATAATATTTAAGAAAGCGAACCAGTAAAAAAAATAAGTATATTAATGTTCATACTAGTTGCCTTCACTATTAAACAAGCGCTAACGCCACACCCTCCATTGTTCTAATTTACACTCTGTATATCTGACTGGCTGTACCTAATGAGACAAATCACACGTCGTGAGTTAGACAACATTCTCTCAACTGTTGGAGGTTGGAACACTCAGCTAAATCATTTTTACTTTCTCGTGTATACGAAGTAGAAAGAAAGTCTTGTAATCGTGCAAAAAGAAATCGAGATTTTTTGCAAATCTCGATGTTTTACATCTCCCTGAGTTGGAAAAACATAGTTTTGCAATCTTGTCCGTATGTCTGTATATATATATATATATATATATATATATATATATATATATATATATATATATATATATATATATATATATATATATATATATATATATATATGTATGTATATATATATATATATATGTATATATATATATAAATATATATATATGTATGTATATATATATATATATATATATATATATATATATATATATATATATATATATATATATATATATATATATATATATATATATGTATATATATATATATATATATATATGTATATGTATATATGTATATATATATATATATATATATATATATATATATATATATATATATACATATATACATATATACATATACATATATATATATATATATATTTGTGTGTGTCATCCCATGTTGTTTCATATAAGAATATTCCAGAAAGTTTAGGGGAGATCACTCCCGGTTGATTTAATGATACATTAAAGCAGCTTATTAATCCACAATAATCATGCCATTAATGAACACATCGGCTGTAAGAAAAAATTACAGGTTCAGTCTCCGAAAACAAAAAATTAAAAATGTGAAACTAAATTAAATATCCATCGTTTTACAGTCAAGAGATGATGTTGTATAGTTTTCAAGACATTTTAAAAGTGTCCGAAATATTATATCAACCGTTTAAATTGTAACCAATGGCGTTGCTAGGTCGGGTATCATCCGGATATGTAGCCTATATATATATATATATATATATATATATATATATATATATATATATGTATATATATATATATATATATGTGTGTGTGTGTGTGTGTGTGTGTGTGTGTGTGTGTGTGTGTGTGTGTACATATTCAAGTTGGAATAAGATTAGTTTTCAAAGTAAATTGTTAGGTTTGGCGTCACCCCAGACACAGAAACAGTAGTTGTTCGTGTGCAAAAAGTTCTTCTTCGGTCGGAGAGGGCAAGCCTATAGATTTTATAAGTGGAATACTAATGACCACTAAAGGTCACAGGTGCATCTGTAGGTATTACAAGCAGAGAGATACTCGTATGCAAATCGGCCGACTGGCTGTTTAGCTATTGCTGAAGCTATCGCATATGAACAACTTTAGAAATTTAAAATTCCCCAACCATTCTCTTCCAGCCTGCTTAGTAGTCAGACAACAAATGCAAATGCATTCGTTGAATCGTGTTCTTGCTACATATATGTCTTTGTTCTCGTAAATATTTTCTATCGGATAGCCAAGGCCATCTGATACCTAACAAGTCAAAGTTCAGTGTGAGGTGGCCAAGGCCATCTGATACCTAACCGTCAAAGTTCTGTGTGAGGTGGCCAAGGCCATCTGATATCTATACTTCAAACAAATATAAGCAAAACTGAGAAACGTTAGCAATTCAATTAGGATGATGAAACAGGCTATAATGGACATTAACCAAATTAGAAAGACCCATCGACTTCAATTCACCAACTTCAAAACGCGTGATAAAATGAATCATCCCAAGTATTATATAAAGGAAGATACGAATGTCACAGGCAAAAGCAGCTTTTCTTTTTATTTGGAGGTGTATGTACGTATATATATATTATATATATATATATATATATATATATATATATATATATATATATATATATATAGGCCTATAATATTGTATATATTTAAATAACAAACAGTTTTGCTGTTACATATTCTAGAAGAAACCACATCAAGATGAAATCTGTTTATCTTGCCTTACTTCTGAACATAGTTGTAATCTCTGCTCAGAACAGTTTGACCAGTAAGTATTTAAAGTTGCATTTTGATTATATTGTTACAATTTAAATTAAATACATTTTCTATTATTATATTAGTATGAGCAGCTGAAAGATACCTACAATTTGTTTTTACATCATACCTTATAAAATAATACCTGAAAATATTATCTTTTATATAAAAAGTCGTCTTTTAGGTTGTTGTTATTTTTTAAATATTCTACTAAAACTGCTAAATCTAGTATATGTAAAGTGTATTAGCAACCATTAATAAATTAAAAGAGGATACATTGTTTAAAAAAGTAGAATAATTTTTTGTGTTAATAAACATGTAAGAAGTTAATCAAAAACAGGTCTCTTTAATAAAAGACCGTTTCTTAATTCCGTGTTATGAAATTAAACGACCTGTTTATTTCCCGCCATTCTTTTACTTCGGGGTTGTAGTGAGGCGGGTGAGAGGGAGGAGGGGGGACTTCTATCAGCGCTGCTGAATCTGGACAGAAAAAATCATAAAGATCTCGCTCGTTTGACAAGAGCCATACATTGCCAAACAGCAACCGACATACGGTCATTAAGTACCTGCTTTCCTAAATATGTACATTTTGCTTTTGACCAAGGTTTTACCTTCAATAAATATCTCCTTAAACCGCAGACGTGTGCTACACCGACCTGCTTTCCTAAATATGTACATTTTGCTTTTGACCAAGGTTTTACCTTCAATAAATATCTCCTTAAACCGCAGACGTGTGCTACACCGACCTGCTTTCCTAAATATGTACATTTTGCTTTTGACCAAGGTTTTACCTTCAATAAATATTTCTTAAAACCGCAGACGTGTGTTACACGGACGTGGGATGTTTCTCTATCAGCCCACCTTTTGGCTTCACGCTGCAACGACCACTGGCTCTCCTGCCTCAGTCACCTGAATGGATCCGGTAAAAAAAAAATTTTGTAGATTACCCACACCTAAATTAAGCCAAAAAATCTTAGATCAAATATATTTAAATACCATGTTTTATTAATTTAACTAAAAATGCTAGATATTTTGTTTACCTTATCTTGTTATGCGTTCATTATTCTTTTTAATTTTACTTAAACAAGGATTATATAAAGCAACTTACTAGTGTTATTTTCAGTATGATTATTTAGAGAAAGCTACGTATCTGATGGCGATTATCTATGTTTATGTGTTGCTTTATTTCAATTACTAAACATGTTGCTACGAATTTTGATACAATTTTTATTCTCTAATACTCTAATACACTAATACTCTAATACTCTTATATTCTAATACACTAATACTCTAATACTCTAGTACTCTAATACTCTAATATTCTGATAATATGATCACAGGCTACGAACTTTTCCCCTAGCACCCTAACAATTCGACCCCTCCCCCCCCCAACCCTAACATTTCCCCAGCACCCTGTTCAAGCTGTACACCCGAGCCCAACCGGCAACTCCACTAGACCTGCCAGCCACACAAGTCAAGACAAGTCTCACCACCATCTGGCCAGGATATGTCTCACGACCGACCAAAATTATCGTCCATGGATTTATGGACTCAGTCGACCTAACAAGCTGGGGAAAGGTCAGAGGTCACATTAGAGAAAAAAATACATTTAAAATATTTGCAACTTAAACATCTACGTGTTTCAGGTTAATTGTTGTACACAAAGTTTTTAGTTTTAAACTGTTTTCCCGTTAAAGAAGCAACATATTCAGTTGTGATCTTTGTTAGAAGAAATAAAATTTTTACTTACCAACAATTATAACCAATAAACTGTTTATCCAAAACTGAAAAACTGCAGGAGGGAAACCTAATATTAGACTTTATAATGTATACAGTGAAATATTGTAAATATTAACGCAGCTTATGCAATAGTCAGTACCTATCTATTTTTTTCAGTTATCTTTACTCTCCGAGTTTCATAAATCTACCCTATTAATTCCATTATCTACCTTTTGTTTTAACTTATCTTCCTTATTTTAATTATCTTCCCTTTTGTTTCACTAATGTTACCTGCTGCTTTAATTATCTTTCCTGTTGTTTCAGCTGATGAAGGACAAACTGCTGGTCTAAGCATTTTCCCTATTACTTCAATTTTCTCCTGTTGGTTCAATTATAAACTTTGTTTTTTCAATTACCTACCCTGTTGTGTAAATTATCTACCTTGTTGTGCAAATTATCTCCCATTTTATGTAAATTCTCTCCCCTATTGTTTGAATGATCTCTCCTGTTGTTTCAGCTGATGAAAGACAAGCTGCTGCTCTAAGCTTTTCCCCTATTACTTCAATTATATCTCCTTTGTTGTTTCAATTATCTACCCTATTGTGTGAATTATCTCTCCTTTATGTAAATTATCTCCCCTGTTGTGTAAGTTATCTCCCCTATTATTTGAATTATCTCCCCTGTTGTTTCATTTACCTCCCCTGTTTCAGTTATCTCCCCTATCGTTTGATCTCCCCTGTTGTTTCAGCAAATGAAGGACGAGCTGTTGAAACAGGGTGACTACAACGTCATTCTTGTGGACTGGTCAGGGGGCAACAAGCCGCCCTACACCCAGGCCACAGCCAATACAAGAGTCGTAGCGGCTCAGATAGCTCAACTCATCAACCAAATCAGTGTACGTACATTTTATTTTAACAGCCAATACAAGAGTCGTAGGGGCTCAGATAGCTCAACTCATCAACCAAATCAGTGTACGTACATTTTATTTTAACAGCCAATACAAGAGTCGTAGGGGCTCAGATAGCTCAACTCATCAACCAGATCAGTGTACGTACATTTTATTTTAACAGCCAATACAAGAGTCGTAGGGGCTCAGATAGCTCAACTCATCAACCAAATCAGTGTACGTACATTTTATTTTAACAGCCAATACAAGAGTCGTAGGGGCTCAGATAGCTCAACTCATCAACCAAATCAGTGTACGTACATTTTATTTTAACAGCTAATACAAGAGTCGTAGGGGCTCAGATATCTCAACTCATCAACCAGATCAGTGTACGTACATTTTATTTTAACAGCCAATACAAGAGTCGTAGGGGCTCAGATAGCTCAGCTCATCAACCAAATCAGTGTACGTACATTTTATTTTAACAGCCAATACAAGAGTCGTAGCGGCTCAGATAGCTTAACTCATCAACCAAATCAGTGTACGTACATTTTATTTTAACAGCCAATACAAGAGTCGTAGCGGCTCAGATAGCTTAACTCATCAACCAAATCAGTGTACGTACATTTTATTTTAACAGCCAATACAAGAGTCGTAGGGGCTCAGATAGCTCATCAACCAGATTATTGTACGTTGGTTAAGCCGACTGTGTTTAGAGCAATCACTGTTGTCAGACCTAAGATCTACATTCTTGAAGATGTAAAAGCCTATATAGTTTTTGGCTGAGGTTATAAAAAAAAGACCTTTCAATAACAGAATTATATAAATCATAACGAAGAACAAGTGAAAGACTTAAGGAAGAAATCACGATATTTTCTGCATGGCCCGTGTTTGCTCGACGTGGTGAAAACAGTCTGGTCATGTCTAGTAAGAGAGTGGATATTTTAAAGATGTGTATCCCAGCCACCCATGTAGGAAATAACATGTATGCTACAAGCTGTACGTGCATTTTTTTAACAGTGGCCACCCTTCCCGAAAATTTTAGTCTGCGCCCCCCCCCCCCAAATAAACATTAAGTACCACCCCCTGAGTAAAAATAATCTTGAAGAAACACTGTTGGACAAGTAATAATAGTAATTTTTAGTTTATATTTTGAAAATCAAATAACAATACACATGCAAAAATCAAAATGTTGTGTTATAGTTTATTACATTTGTGATTAGAATTCCTTTAGGTGAAAAAATACCAATGGATGGTTCCAGAAAAATGTGACGTTATTCCTTTCGTATCTTTAAAATTTGGATTCACATTTTATCAAAACATTTTTTACGTCACAGGCTAAATACGGTACACCAGCCAAAAGCTTCCACGTCATCGGTCACAGTCTGGGCTCTCACATCTCTGGTTACGCTGGGGAGAGGGTGCCAGGTTTGGGGAGGATTACAGGTAGGTTGGTAGGTGGGGAGTATTAAAGGTAGGTTGGTGAGTGGGGAGGTTTACAGTTAGGTTGGTAGGTGGGGAGGATTACAGGTAGGTTGGTGGGTGGAGAGGTTTACAGTTAGGTTGGTAGGTGGGGAGGATTTCAGGTAGGTTGGGGTGTGGATTACAGGTAGGTTGGTGAGTTGGGAGGTTTACAGGTAGGTTGGTGAGTTGGGAGGTTTACAGGTAGGTTGGTGGGTGGGGAGGTTTACAGGTAGGTTGGTGAGTGGGGAGTGTCACAGGTAGGTTGTTGAGAATGATGAATATAAACCTGTTTTAACCCTCCTTACTTTTTGTTTTAGTTTGTTGATAGAAAAAACGTGCATGAACATTTGTTTGATGTTTTATAATGATCACAAAATCCTAGAATGTGAACGATGTTTTTCATTATACATTCCCATCGTCATATAGGCATATCAAAATGTGTATGTAACTAACACATTTATAGATACTTTGCTGTTTTTTTTTTGTTTTTTTTTTTAGGTAAAATGCACTGTCAAAGATAAAATAGTTTATTAAAATTATTAAAATTGTATTAGAGACTGTAAAAATGGGGTCATATATAACTTGAATTAGCTACTATTCACATCACTTAAGAACCACTTATCTCTGTTCCACAGGTCTGGACCCCGCCGGCCCATATTTTGAGAACACTCCAGTCAGCATCAGACTTGACCCCACTGACGCGTTGTTTGTTGACGCCATCCACACTGACGCTGGGACTCTTCTCACAGCTAGTAGGTTAATCGTTTGCAAATGCGATAATAAAAAAGAAAAATATAAATAGTTTGTCCAGGATAGTTATTTATTTTCTAGCTGCTAAGCCTGATGAAAGACATGTAATAAATATTAATTTAAATTTTGTTAGATATTTAGTTATCTACGTCAGTTTTTAGGGATACAATGTTTTGAAACATGAGGCTTAAAAAAGAAAGACATACATAATTATGAACAATTATTTATTACAAACTAATAATCAAACGAATTGTAATCGACTCGTTTAAAAATATTTAAAATCTCTCGAGTAACTTGAGTATGTGACAAATTAAATAAATCAATTATAATATAGGCATATAGGATATAATAAAATTATACAAAAATTATGATCATTAAAGTTACTCTTGAAAGGGATATCCATAATAATTATAAAAAGGTTATGCTGACTGGGTTTACTCATGAATATAACATACATATTTTTTTTAATGAGAAATGGTTTTAAATTGTTTAAAACGTTCATTCGCGAATACCACACAGACCTCGGCATCATGCAGGCTGTAGGTCACGTTGACTTTTATCCAAACGGTGGACACAATCAGCCTGGGTGTATCCAGTCTCCTATTACATCCATTGAGCAGTGGGGGCTTATTGATGGTAGGTGATGTGAAAGTGTGGGCTTATTGATGGTAGTGGTTGTGGGGGCTTATTGATGGTAGGTGATGTGGTAGTGGGGGGGGTTATTAATGATATGTGTTGTGATAGTTGGGGCTTATTGCTGGAAGGTGTTGTGGGAGTTTATTGATGGTAGGTGTAGTGGTTGTAGGTGTTGTGATAATGGGGGCTTAATGATGGTAGGTGTTGTAACACTTGGGACTTATTGATGGTAAGTGTTGTGGTATTGGGGGCTTGTTGATTGTAGGTGTTGTGATAGGGGAGGGGGCTTTTTAATGAAAGTCGACATAGTGGGAGCTAATTGATTTTAGGTGTTGTGACAAGGGCATAGACAGTAAAAAAAAACATATAATAGCATATCTCATATATATATATATATATATATATATATATATATATATATATATATATATATATATATATATATATATATATATATATATATATATTATATAACTGAATTGACTTTGTGTTACTATCCAAGGCGCCGTTGACTTTGTCATCTGTAACCACATGAGGTCCATCCACCTGTTTACAGAGAGCATCAACTCCAGCTGTCGCTTCAAGAGTTATCCTTGTGCTAGTGAACTCAACTTTGTGGTAAGTAGCTGAGTGTAATTGTACAACCACGATGAGTAGAATGAACGATGACAAATGTAAAATGGTATTGAGTTCGTTATAATTTCCATTAACTCGAATCTTTTGAATGTGCCTAAGTCCGCCCTTCTTTGATTGAATCTGTCCACTCCTTATTCCTGTGTCTAACACAACTGCTATAATTAAAAACCTCCCCATCCCCTCCCCAGTTGGGTTGGTGTAACACATGTGGTGTGTCGGGCTGTGCCAACCTGGGATTCTGGGCCAAGCCAACGCCTGCTGGAAAATTTTTCTTGAAGACTGCTGGAAATCCGCCATTTTGTTTGGCTTAGTTGCAATCTGTTGACTCTTGTTAACGTAAAATAAACCAAAAAATTAATACTTGTTTTGTAGCTTGTTTTATGTTTAATTAGATTTATTTTAGCAATTTTCTTGAACCTCCTTACGATCGACTCGTGATTTCCTACTGCTACCATGGTATCCTCTTTACAGTAGGGCTGGTAAGTAGGTCATCAACCAGTTCTTCGGCTCAATAAAAACTGCATGAGCCATAGAACTGATTGGTGACCTACTTACCAGCCCTATACACCCCATCAAGCTGTAAGGCAATAGCTAGACTATATCTCAACTTGTTGACCTCTTCTCCGTGTTGTGTGTAGATTATAAACACCAAGTTTGTTTATGTATTCTTTAAATCAGGGGTCTCCAAACTAAGGCCCGCTGGCCGGATGCGGCCCGCGAGGTCCTTTCATCCGATCCGCGGAGATCTTTTTGTTCACGAAAAAAAGTTTGTTAGAAGTGGCTGAGGTACTTTGCTCAGAAAATTCAAAACAGTTTGAAAATCTACCTTTGGGTATAAATACCATTGCCCTCCGTGTTGCAAACATTGATGAAAACATTGTGACTCAAATAGAATCGCTGGACAGCTGTTCCATGTTTTTGGAGCAAGTACAGGGCAACAACTCGACGCACTTTCGCACTTTCAGCAGTGCAGAGTCTTCATGGCTGAAGCAATAGCTGAGTTCCCCACATCATTTGCATGCAAGATCATCAAAGACCTCCAGCTGCAGTTTCAGTAACGGTTTTCTGACCAGGATTCAAAGGCAGAAGAAGTGAGACTGCTTCAAAACCCATTTGAAGCAAATGTAACCAGTTGCCCAGATGAACTGCAGATTGAGGTCATTGAATTGCAAGCAAATGACTTCCTTAGAGACAAGTTTAAAAAACGGCGGGTGGGTTTTTGTGTTTGCCCAAGGAGAACAAACTTGGACCTGAAGTGTGTTGTCGGCCGGACAGTGTTTTTTTCAGACTTTTTCTCCAGGAAGGAGGGGGGGGGTTGCATTTAAAATGTGTTTATATTTCTATATAAATTCTATTTCTTTGGGGGGGGGGGGGGCACGGTGAACACCGCCACCCCAAAGGATGCATGGAAGAAACTCTACTCTGGCCCGCAAACTGATATTTGATAGTTAATGCGGCCCTTGGGCTGAAAAGTTTGGAGACCCCTGCTTTAAATAGAAATCCGTCTCATTTTCTAACACTGAATCAGAGTCGTAGCGAGGAGGGGGGGGGGGGGCGGGAGGCGGACATATGTCCCCGGGCGCCGACCTTAAGGGGGGCGCTAAAATGGGTTGGAAAAACAAATTGAAAGTTTGAGAGGGGAGGGGGTGCAAATGAAAAGTTGGAGGGGGGTGGAAACCGAAAGTTTGTTCCAGGGCGCCGTGAAGGGTCGCTACGCCTCTGCACTGATTAGACTGAAACGATCGTTCTATTAGCCAGGTGACGGATGAGCTGATTTTAAGAATGTTTTTCTCGTGAGAGCCAACCACGGAGGTTAATAAGGGGCTGATCATTTTTTTTCTTAAAGGGGGCTTGTTTAGGATTGTATGCGAATATTCTAAGTCGTATGTGGTGACGATTTAAGACAAAAGAAATAATAAAAATAAAATACTCAATGTTTTAAGAACTTAAATATTGAATTTTTTTTTTAAATTTATAATTTTTAACAATTTATAATTTATATATTTATGAATTTATAAAATGTATAACTATAATTTATAAAACTAGAACATAAAACAAATATAAAGGTTTTTCAAAATAATACGCTGCACTAAAAATATAAACGAATAAAACAAACATGCTTTATTTATTAAAAGCATTATAACACCCAAAGCTTTTACTAAAGATATTAAATGTCTTATGTTGTAGTGCATTAAAGCTTTCTATATAATTTTTTATAATATTTTTGTGTACAATTCAAAATATTGACCTTACATAATCTACCACACGAGCATAACTCTCACTTCAAAAACCAGCCATTATCTCCCCCAAAATCTACGTAGTTATTCAGACGACAGGATCAAATGAAAGCATGTTCCGCTATGTTGCTGCTACTTATTTCTTCCTCTGATCTTGTGGAGTGTTTGAGTTAGTGCACCGTGGCCAACAGATGTCGACTCTACAGAGTTCAAGAGAAAAACCAAAGGCCATTCAAGTGAGAAATACAAAATCAGGGGCAGAGCTAGACACAAACCCCCCAATACACCGACAAGAAATTATGGACCGCCAATTTTACTTTAAACATTATATAAAAATAAAATTATAAATATATATATATATATATATATATATATATATATATATATATATATATATATATATATATATATATATATATATATATATTTAGTTACACACGTAGTTCTTTTTGTTACACATATATATCAAGTGGTAAGTAAAATCTCATTTAGAAGTTACATTTTTATGGGTCATATTGTCGGGAGCCTATATGTTGGTCTCAAGGGCGGAGAAAAGCGATTTTAGTGCCACACATTATCAAATTCGTTTTTTTAAAGACACACAAATCTATATGCAACGTCCATTATATTTAAATGGACAGTCTTCAGCCAACGCCCAGTACAGCTTGTTCGACTTAAAAGGGCCCACCATTTCGTATCTAGGCCCAACGAAAAGATGACCTATCCTCTCTAATCAAGGCTTATTAGAAGTAGAGGACCACGGATTCAAACCTAAGCCAATCAGGACCATTAACGGGAACCTATCATCTTGAGCATGGACACAAGAACCCACCATATTTATCTAAACACGCCTAGCAGTTAAGGGAGAAAGGGAGACCAACCGTCTAAAACAACGTCCCATGAAAGGGCATACCGTCTCTTATAATCGTAGACTAAAAATAAAAAAGCCACTGCTATAACTATAATGTATTTTTACACACACGAACATTCAAATATTCAGAATGATTAAATTTTGAAATGAAAATGTTGACTATTTACGGTTGGGTTATGGGACCACTAGAATTCTCGACTATGTCGCCATTTGAATCTACCCCCCTCCCCAATCCGTTCGAGGTGCGTGGTTCTGCGGTATCGTAGTTCCACCCCTGTGGCAAAGAGAATTTCTTTTTAACAACTACAAAGGGCAACTTAAAGTGATTTCGTATAAATGTTATATAAAGGAAAAAAAAAGCATTTTACGCCAGAGAGATTTTTTGTTATTTGATGGTAGTTGTACGTATACGTACTTGTTTCTCTAAATATCTAAATACATATACATAATTATAATTATATACATATATATATAGGCCTATATATATATATATATATATATATATATATATATATATATATATATATATATATATATATATATATATATATATATATAGGCTATATAATGCTATAAAATGAGATTTGTACTGTTTAATACTCTAGGAGAGAGAGCAAGATTTAAAAAATGCAGTCGAGTTTGTTTTGTGTACTTCTAAACATCTTAGTGATTACAGCCCAGAATAGTTTGTTCAGTAAGTTTTAAAAGTTTGATTTTTTTTGTTGCATACATTTGTTCAGTAAGTTTTAAACGTTTGATTTATTTATTACATACATTTGTTCGGTAAGTTTTAAAAGTTTGATTTTATTGTTACATATATTTGTTCAGTAAGTTTTGAAATTTTTATTTTTTTGTTACATTTGTTCAGTAAGTTGTCTAAGTTTGATTTTATTGTTTCTAACATTTGTTCATTAAGTTTTGAAATTTTGGTTTTATTGTTACATATATTTGTTAAGTAAGTTTTAAAAGTTTGGTGTTTGATTTTTTGTTAGCAGATACGTTTGCAATAATTATTTTTACACTATCGCCTGAAAATAAAAACAGCAAAAAAATTGATTTTAGATCAAGTTCATAAAACAATGTCTGGAAATTTTTTTTGCTCTGTGTAAAGATCGCTTTCAACGGTTTGAATTGTATTAGCACATGGTCACCACTATATACTGAAAGTTATTACAACAAAAAATATTTTAAAATTATGGAAGCTTTGGACCAGGTTTCTATTTTTGACGTTTGAAAATTGTATTAAATTGTTCTGTGTTTTACATTTAAAAAAAAATCATCTAGTCCTACGCCTATCTGACTCCAATAATAGCAGCAAAAACTATAGTTAGACTGCGCTAATCCATTGCTTCCTCTCTAGGTTATTCACATGTATTGCTTAGTTATGCGAGCAAGCATAAATCGTGCACCGGAATTATCTTCACGTCAAACCAAACAGTAGCTGTTTCTGTCCTGACCAGATTATACCCTAAATAAAATATGTAATCCTCAGACGTTTGCCATGGTGACCTGGGATGCTTCTCTATTCTCGCACCTTTTGGCTTCACCCTAGAGAGACCCCTGGCTCTCCTGCCACAGTCACCTGATACGATCAAGTAAGATAGTATTTTTTTCCTTGTCCCTTACATATTCCCACATTCAAGCTATTTAATAATTCAATTTCATCCTATAACTTTTTGCGTATAATAATTTTGACATGTATTTAAACCAGGGTTATATTAATGCTATAAGTACACCTTTTGATGCATTAATATATGGATACGCCTGCTAGCTATTGCTTGAATGTGTTGATTTCTGCTTAAAAATAAACTCCGACAGAACTATTTTAAAACTTTTTACAGTATTCTGTAATATTTATCTCGATTTCAATATTTGATAGATTTACGATGTATGCATTCTTTGAATTACAATTACATATCTAAACCGTTTTTTTTTAACGAATTTGTACTTTGCTACACCCTTAATTCTTCACCGCACCCAATATTTCCCCAGCACCCTAACATATTGACCCCCCCCTAACATTTCCCCAGCACCCTGTTCAAGCTGTACACCCGAGCCCAACCGGCAACTCCACTAGACCTGCCAGCCACACAAGTCAAGACAAGCCTCACCACCATCTGGCCAGGTTTTGTCTCACGACCGACCAAAATTATTGTACACGGATTTTTGGACTCAGTCGACCTAACAAGCTGGGGAAAGGTTATTTGAAAATACGGTTAAAATTTGAATGTAAAAATTGGAAATATTCATTTAATACGCATTAAAATGTAATGTTTTTCGAATTAAATGTTTCCAAACTCAATGAAGTTCAAATTATCTGGTAAGTGGGTTTTAGAAGATATTTTCGTATACGGGTAAATTAAATAAGGCGGAAGTCACTCGCGGACAGTTGTCACTCCCTTGTTAAAGAGGGTGGAGCTACTACTAATGTCTCTGAAGCCTCTCTCATTTCTTTTCAATTTTTTTTTTTTTTTTTAATTTGCAATTAAAACAAGTACATCAACATAAAAAATTTTAACATATTGTTTACCGGTGCATCAAACCAGAACTCGAACAAAATGTTATATTCTTGAATGTCATTGATGAACATGTTTTTTTTCCTTAATATATGTCTGCATCGTTATATTCTGAAGGATACTGCAAATTTTAATAAGATAACTTTTTATTTCCAATAATTGTAACTATGTATCCACTGTGTCATTTCAGTTTTGATTAATATGTCTTATATTTTTAAATAACTTTTTATCCATTTATCTCTCAAGTTGTTTCAATTATCTCCCCTATTGTTTTTTAATCTCCCCTGTTTCAGTTATCTCCTCTGTTGTTTGAATGATCTCCCTCTGTTGTTTCAGCAAATGAAGGACGAGCTGTTGAAACAGGGAGACTACAACGTCATCCTTGTGGACTGGTCAGGCGGCAACAAGCTGCCCTACACCCAGGCCACAGCCAATACAAGAGTCGTAGGGGCTCAGATAGCTCAACTCATCAACCAGATTATTGTAAGTTTAAAGTTTCCCTTTCAAACCTGACGGTCTATGGGGCAAGTAAAGTAGAGTTCACTTGTTTCTGTGACCTCGGCATATGAAGAGATAGTGTGGTCAGCAATATTCCCAGCCGCTGTAAGTTTAAACTGATTGTTAATTCCTTTGTTCGAACCGAGATCAACAGCCGGGATAGGCCATGCAAGTTTTCAGCTGAGGCCTATAATGTAGTTAATTACCTGCAAAAGTGAGAAACTTGCAATGTGTTAGGGTATAAACCTCGTGATTTTAAGAGAAAAATCTGAATCTCTTGAGCAAACTAGAGTTAGGTAATCTATATTACTAATTCGGTTATTTAATTAAGACTCTCAGTATCTGTATGTTTAAAAAATATGGATTCCGGCCACAATTTAAATTTCAGGCCATTAAATCTGTTGCACTTTTTGCAAATAAAAGGCTACAAATTATGCAAACATCAAAATGAAATGCTTCATAAAATATGAAACACGATTAATTCTGTTGTGCGACTATGTTACTTGTAGGTTCAGTAAAATTGAAGCTACTACTTTTCGTACATTTGAAACTTACGTTGTTGGTTTTTATCAATTGTGTTTATCACGTGACAGGCTACTGTCAATACACCAGCCAAAGACTTCCACGTCATCGGTCATAGTCTGGGTTCTCACATCTCTGGGTACGCTGGGGAGAGGGTGCCAGGCTTGGGGAGGATTACAGGTAGGTTGGTGGGTGGGGAGGTTTACAAGTAGGTTGTGGGGAGGGTCACAGGTAGGTTGTGGGTGGGGAGGTTTACAGGTAGGTTGGTGAGTGGGGAGGTTTACAGGTAAGGTGGTAGGTGGGGAGGTTTACATGTTGGTTGGTGAGTGGGGAGGTTTATAAGTAGGTTGGTGAGTGGGGAGGTTTACAGGTAGGTTGGTGAGTGGTTTACAGGTAGGTTGGTGAGTGGGGAGGATTACAGGTAGGTTGGTGAGTAGGGAGGATTACAGGTAGGTTGGTGAGTGGAGAGGTTTACAGGTAGGTTGGTGAGTGGATTACAGGTAGGTTGTTGAGTGGGGAGAGTTACAGGTAGGTTGGTGAGTGGGGAGGTTTACAGGCAGGTTGGTGAGTGGGGAGAGTTACAGGTAGGTTGGTGAGAATGGTGTATATAAACCTGTTTTAACCCTTCTTACTTGTTGTTTTAGTTTGTTGATAGAAAAACGTGCATGAACATTTGTTTGATGTTTTATGATGATTACAAATTCCTAGAATGTGAATGATGTTATTTATTATACATTCCCATCGTCATATAGGCCAATATCAAAATGTGTATGTAACTAACACATTTATAGATTCTTTGCTGTTTGTTTTTTTGTGTTTAGGTAAAATGCACTGTCAAAGATATTAAAATTGTATTAGAGACTGTAGAAGTTGGGTCATAAATACCCTGAATTAGCTACCACTCACACCACATGAGAACCACTGTTCTCCATTCCATAGGTCTGGACCCCGCCGGCCCATTTTTTGAGAACACCCCAATTAGCGTTAGACTCGACCCCACTGACGCCTTGTTTGTTGACGCCATCCACACTGACGCGGGGACTCTTCTCACAGCTAGTAGGTGAATTGGTTCAAAATAAGTCGTTACTTTAAAAAGATAGTTCATCATTTCTAAATACAATAATACGTCAATTGCATATGATATAAACTTTCTTCAGCTTACAAGGATAAATTTACTATACAAGATACGTAGGCTACCTGAAATATGAAGACTGAAATATGAAAGCAAATATTTTTCAAAGTAAATTGTACTAAATATTTGATCTATAAGAAAAAACGATAACAGTAAAATAGAAGTTTAAGCAAATGAATGTATAAACAGTACTACTTAGCGCCATGCCTCAACCCTCAACACATTCTATTCATATATCTTATCAAACCATTTCAAACCTGTACCCTAGTTACAGTATAGCACACCAATATTAATACTAACTGTATATCTTTCAAGAAGACTTACCACATTACAAAATCACAAGTATAAGTTTGTAATCTATTTAATTTTACGTATCCTAAAAACAGAATTATTGTACAATTACAATTTATTTATGTACTATGTAAAATCACGAAACATGGGTTTTTTTGAAAAATCATTTACTAATGACGACCTTTCTTGTACAGATCTGGGCATCATACAGGCTGTAGGTCACGTTGACTTTTACCCTAACGCTGGACATAAACAGCCTGGGTGTATCAAGTCTCCTATTACATCCATTGAGCAGTGGGGGCTTATTGATGGTAGGTGTTGTGGTAGTGGGGGCTTATTGATGGTAGGTGTTGTGGTAGTGGGGGCTTATTGATGGTAGGTGTTGTAGTAGGGGGGGGGGGGCTTATTGATGGTAGGTGTTGTGGTATTGAGGGCTTATTGATGGTAGATATTGTGTAGGCTTGTTGATGGTAGATATTGTGGAGGCTTATTGATGGTAGGTGTTGTGGTATTGGGGGCTTATTGATGGTAGGTGTTGTGTAGGCTTATTGATGGTTTGTGATGTGGTATTGGGGGCTTATTGTTGGTAGGTGTTGTGGGGTCTTATTGATGGTAGGTGTTGTGGGGTCTTATTGATGGTAGGTGTTGTGGGGTCTTATTGATGGTAGGTGTTGTGGGGCTTATTGATGGTAGGTGTTGCGGGGGCTTATTGATGGTAGGTGTTGTGGGGTCTTATTGATGGTAGGTGTTGTGGGGTCTTATTGATGGTAGGTGTTGTGGGGTCTTATTGATGGTAGGTGTTGTGGGGCTTATTGATGGTAGGTGTTGCGGGGGCTTATTGATGGTAGGTGTTGTGGGGTCTTATTGATGGTAGGTGTTGTGGGGTCTTATTGATGGTAGGTATTGTGGGGGCTTATTGATAATAGGTGTTGGGATAGTGGGGGCTTATTGATGGTAGGTGTTGAAGGGGCTTATTGATGGTAGGTGTTGTGGGGGCTTATTGATGGTAGGTGTTGTGGGGGCTTATTGATGGTAGGTGTTGTGGAGGCTTATTTATGGTAGGTGATGTGGGGTCTAATTGATGGTAGGTGTTGTGGGGGCTTATTGATGGTAGGTGTTGTGGGGCTTATTGATGATAGGTGTTGTGGTAATGTCATGTCATGTTTGCCTGTCGTCCCTACTGGGACATAGGCCGCTGACAAGAGCTTTCCAGGCGTCTCTGTCCAGGGCTAGTCTCTCCGACTGTCCCCAGGTGTATCCAATCTTCTTGGTGTCTTCTTCCAGGTCACGTCTCCAGGTCTTTCTTGGTCTGCCTCTCTTCCTCCTGCCTTGTGGATTCCAGGTGAGGGCCTGTCTTGTTATGCTGGATACAGGCTTCCTGAGTGTGTGGCCAATCCATTTCCATTTTCTCTGGAGGATCTCTACTTCAACTGGCAGTTGATTTGTCCGTTGCCATAGAACATCATTTCTGATGGTTTTAGGCCAGCGAATTCGCAGGATCTTTCTGAGGCATGCGTTTATAAATGATTGTATTTTCTTCTTATTTATAGCAGTTATTCTCCACGTCTCGGCTCCATAGAGTAAAACAGGTTTTACTAGTGTGTTGAAGATCCTGATTTTTATTCCAAGGGTTAAATCTCCCGAACCCCAAACATTTTTTAGTTGGTTGAAGACTGCTCTTGCCTTACCCGTCCTTATTTTTATGTCTGCTTCTGTCCCACCCTGCTTATCAACAATACTTCCAAGATAGGTGAATCTATCCACTTCTTCTAGGGCTTCTTCTGCCAGTGTTATAGGGTTGTTGTTTGATGGTAGGTGTTGTAGGGGCTTATTGATGGTAGGTGTTGTGGGGGCTTATTGATGGTAGGTGTTGTAGGGGCTTATTGATGGTAGGTGTTGTAGGGGCTTATTGATGGTAGGTGTTGTGGGGGCTTATTGATGGTAGGTGTTGTGGGGGCTTATTGATGGTAGGTGTTGTGGGGGCTTATTGATGGTAGGTGTTGTAGGGGCTTATTGATGGTAGGTGTTGTGGGGGCTTATTGATGGTAGGTGTTGTGGGGGCTTATTGATGGTAGGTGTTGTGGGGGCTTATTGATGGTAGGTGTTGTGGGGTCTTATTGATGGTAGGTGTTGTGGGGGCTTATTGATGGTAGGTGTTGTGATAGTGGAGGCTTATTTATCGTAGGTGTTGTGGGTTTTTTTTTATGGTAGTTGTTGTGGGAACTTAATATGGTAGGTGTTGTGGGGGCTTTTTGATGGGCTTTTTGGTGGTAGGTGTTGTGTTATTGGGGGTTTATCGGTGGTAAGTGATGTGACGTTCCTGTCTTATTTACATTTTAGGTGCAGTTGATTTAGTCATCTGTAACCACATGCGGGCCATCAGGCTGTTTACAGAGAGCATCAACTCCGTCTGTAGCTTCAAGAGTTATCCCTGTGTTAGTGAGATCGCCTACTTGGTGAGTACTAGGATTATAGTGCTGGGTTTTGTTATGTTGGATAGAATTTACTTCTTTATAAACTAAAATAAATCGCATATTATATGTTAATATTAATATATGTATATATGTATATGTATATGTATATATATATATGTATATATATATATATATATATATATATATATATATATATATATATATATATATATATATGTGTGTATTTATAGACACACATACATGGCCAAATAAAATGTCGTGACACCCGTGTGTGAAACGGTGTGGTTGGGAAGTAGAGTATACGATAACAAAACAATCAGCCTCGAGTTCGATTATGGTTTTCGAGTCCTTAAAATATACCTGAACCCCCTTGACTAGTGCTCAAACAAAGGCTACTGCGCATGTGTACGGTTAAGCTGTGGCATTACAGATTACAGCCAGTGAAACAGATGAACCTGTGCTTCATCTGCCTATTGACCTTTGACCATTTTACTTTACTTATACTTATATAGTTAAGCACTGTGTTTTTCTCGTGGTATGATTTGTTAATTGTGTGTTGTTATTTGTAAGAATGAAGATATGTGTGATTAGGTTAAATTTACAATGCAATAAAGAAGTTCTATACTTCAAATATTTAAAAGATTGCTGTAACCAATTAACTTTACTCCCTAAAGTCGTGGCACAAATGTGGACAGGTTGTGTTAAATTTACCATTAAATAATTAACTGTATAGTAAAAATTGATAAAATCAACCTCTCTCCCTAGTTAGGATTTTGTTACAAATGTGGTCTTGTTATGCTAAAATGTACTCTTAAATAATTAAACTGTCATTAAATTAAATAATTAATCTCTATAGTTAAAATGTTTACAGCGATACATCAACTTTCCCTCCCTAGTTCGGCTTTTGCTACAAGTGTGGAACGGTTGTGTTAAAATTTACCATTAAATAATTAATCTCTATAGTTAAAATGTTTACAACGATACATCAACTTTCCCTCCTTAGTTTGGCTTTTGTTACAAGTGTGGAACGGTTGGTTGCGCCTACGAAGGTTTCTGGGCTACTCCAAAACCTTCTGGAACATTTTACATGAAGACTGCTGGAACTCCGCCATTTTGTTTGGTTTAGTAGCCGTCAGGTTACGATTGTTTAGATAAATGTAACATCACTTGTTATGTTTTGTGTGTAAAATATTGTGTCATTAGATTTTATATTTAGAAACATTTGGTTGAAAACCCCCAATAAGTCAATAAACCTTAATATACATATAATATAAAAATAAAAACAACAATTACATCCCTTGCACAAAGGATCGAGCAAACAAAAATAATATTGGCCGGGTTCTAATAGGAAATTCACAAAGTTAGTTTAAACTGATAGACTGGCCAGATTTTTCAACATGTAACAAGTCAAATCATTGGGACGTCAAATGTAAATTACAACAAGAACGCATATCAACAGAATAAACTCTATAATAGTCAGTGATTCTTTCAGACTTTTTTCTCCGAGTGAGTTGGGGGGGGGGGGGGCTCTTGATAGTATTGTTTGGGGGGGGGGGCGGACTCTGGTAAAAGTATTTATTTTCTATATAAATTCTATTTTGTTCGGGTAGGGCGGTAGACTTTCTTCCGGGGTGGGGGGTGAGAATAATTGTTTCCATCATGAGAAGTGGGGATTGGTTAACAAATTGCATAAGTGAAACCTCAAAAGTTATCTCAAAGATGAAGTAAGAGAATCACATATTTCACTTCTTGGAATCTCATTTTCGCTACTCTAAATCAAATGCAAAACAATAAATTTGTATTCTGAATTGATGTGTTTATTTGTACAGTTAGCAATAAACAATTTCTTTCTAAATGTGAAAGCTGTGTTTATCTTTGTTGATTTTTTAAAATACACTTTCTAATCGGGCAAATTTAATTATTAGTGCAGTTTTAACGAACAGGTTACTCAAATCTCTTAAAGAAATTACTTTTAAAATGATGTTTTCTTTTGTTGTTTTTTTACATTCTCTCGACCATACAGAGACAGTAAATTTGTTTATAAAAACTGTAGTAATATTATTAATCATCACTCACCCTATAGAAGTAAATGCATTAAATGAATGTATAAGCCATTGATCACAAACAACCTCATGTTTCATCACACTGAGCAGCTGTTACAAACAATGCATGATGACCTGTAAAAGTTCTACAATTTAGAACTTGGTACATGAAACCTGAACTATCGAAAACAAAAACAAATGAACTTTACCATATTCGCATATCTTTGACGATATTAAGATTTTCACCAATACCTATCTCTGTTCACATACGTATTTATTCTACCGGTGTGGGTCTTTGTGGTGTCGTCTAGTGGTGTGGGTCTACGCAGTGTTTCTTCCAGACTTTTTTTCTCCGGGAGGGGGGGGGGGGGAGGCACTTGATATTTTCAGAGGGGAGGGGGGCGGACAACATTTTCCGGGGGGCGGACACTGTAAAAGTATGTTTTCTATATAAATTCCATTCCGTTCTGGGGGAGGGGGGGAGGACGGTAGATTTTCTTCGGGAGGGGGGGGGGGGGGCTCTGCCCTCCCCGAAGAGATGCCTGGAAGAAACTCTGGGTCTACGTGCTGTTGTCCAGTGGTGTGTGACTTTGTGGTGTCGTGTAGTGGCGTGTGTCTGTGTGGTGTCGTGTAGTGGTGTGTATCTTTGTGGTGTCGTGTAGTGGTGTGTATCTTTGTGGTGTCGAGTAGTGGTGTGTATCTTTGTGGTGTCGTGTAGTGGTGTGTATCTTTGTGGTGTCGTGTAGTGGTGTGTATCTTTGTGGTGTCGTGTAGTGGTGTGTATCTTTGTGGTGTCGTGTAGTGGTGTGTACCTTTGTGGTGTCGTGTAGTGGTGTGTATCTTTGTGGTGTCGTGTAGTTGGAAATTTTAATCTCGTGGGTTTTTTTTTTGTCTTATCCAGAGAGTGTTTAGAAATTTATGTCAGAAGAGGCATCAACAAGACAGAGGTGTAGCGACCCTTCCCGGCACCCGGGGACAAACTTTATATTTAGCGCCCCTTTCGAGATTAATCTTTCAATTTAATTTTCTATTTGCAACCCCCCCCCCCCGAACTTTCGATTTGCACCCCACCCCCCTCGAACTTTCGATTTGGACCCCCCCTCATATATTTTTTTATATTTATAAAGCAAAATTGCAGCTAAAATGAGATTTTAATTTGTTAATGTACCCCCTGCCCCCCTCCCCCCTCGCTACGCCTCTGCAACAAGATGGAGAAGAAGTGAAGGTAAAAGTGTTAGCAAGAGTCAATTACGTATTTAAAGCATTGCTCAAAAGAAACCAGGAAAGTAGTCAAGCAACTTTCAAATCTCTCATCTGGGGCGTCCTGTGTGTTGCTACAAGCTAGAAGTATCACAAGTCAAAGATTGTATCCTTGAGTAAAGATCATATCTTTGAGTAGCTGTGACCTATTGACGCCGAGCTTACATAGTTGGCTGCACTTAAACCAACCAAAACCCTATCCCGTTTTACTATCGCTATGGTAGACTGCGCACCAGAGTGTAAACTAATACACCTTAAAATCTACCGTCTTTTTTACACTCAGGTCACTGGTCAGCATAAAAACTACGTTTTTTGACGTTATAACTGACTGTTTAAAACGGTCATTTATTGTCCCCACTATTGAGACACATACAACAATACCTGCGAACAACGGATATTCCATGTTAGTGGTAATACCGGGAAATGTGTTAGTCCTAGTATTAGGTCAGATCGTCCTGTTAAGTGTAGCTCAGTGTCCGACCAGTTGTTATGATGTAACTTCAGTAATGTTTCTATAACTTGCGTACTTGATCTGATGTTAAACTACAGTAATGTTTCTATAACTTACGTACTTGATCTGATGTTAAACTACAGTAATGTTTCTATAACTTACGTACTTGATCTGATGTTAAACTACAGTAATGTTTCTATAACTTACGTACTTGATCTGATGTTAAATTCTAAAAACTTCTATAACTTGCCCACTTCAACTAATGTTAAACTACAGTAATGCTTCTATAACTTGCTTACTTGATCTGATGTTATGTATGTTCCCTACCTGTCCCAGAGCGTTCTCCATCCGTTCAAGCATTATGTCATTATTACTTAACTCTAGTACACGTTCAGGTCAATGGTTCTATTCTTGGCGTAAGATCAGACAAATTTGCTATTTATTAATTAAAATAGGTCAAGCTTTTGATGTTAGTATTTGACCTCGCTAAACAGACCATGTGGTGTAAAGTGACTGGCGTTTTTAGAATTTCGATCACATTCTTCATTAACAAAAACGTACTTTAACATTAAGTTATGTCAATCACGCAACCTTTTTTGATCTAACGGATGCTTTGAATACTCGAGTGCTTCATCTGATTTCACAAAGATTTCACTGAGGTTTCCTTACCTTAAAACCTGGCTTTTTAATCTAATCCTTTTTACTTTCTCACGTTTTGTGAAGTATTGTAAGCTTGTGACAAATTCAAAGTATTTGAGAACTGTTTCATTTATATGGGCGAAATTCCAGTTTTGAATATGTAATATTTACGTTGGTTCTTTCAACTTTGAAGCGAGTTCCGGTACCGAGAATTTATACTCAAATTCATACAAACACGCACTCATACTCACACTCATACACAGTCATTCTCATACTCATACACACACACTCACACACTCTGATCACACCTACACCCACACACACACTCGATACACACACATTTTCACATACACACACACACACTCAAACACACTCTCACACAAAGAGAGAAAGACACAACAACTCCGGTCAATGACATCATTTTGTACTGTAATATTTTTAATTCTACCATTTAAACCAATGGCATTGAAATTATATCTGTCTAAAACAAATTTTAAAATTACATATGAAATAAACCATCATTTATTTTTAAAGTGAACGCAAGTGTTAACAATTAAATTAACAAAACAACATTTTACTGAAGCTGGATAATTTTAAAATAACGATTAAAATCTTCTATAATTTCCATTAATTTTAGTTGTATTAAAATATTGACAAAAGTATAAGGTTTAGAATCCAGACACAGATAATAATCAGGTACACTCTGGCAGTTTCACGATAGTGTATCATTAGCATCAATTAAATATCTCAAGCCTTTGTTGTCGCTGTCGACTGTGTTATCGATGTCGCTTTGTTAACACTGCAATTTGTTGTGACTACTGTGTAGTCAAAGTCCAATAAGTTATTTACTGATTGTAAGACAAACGTAAACCTAGACATACAAAGGTTTATTAAGTTGTATTCACTTTATAGACTTGAATACAGTTAAAAGCAGTAGAACCAGTTAACTAAAAAGTTTAGATTTAAATTAGATTCGGTGTAAATATTTATTAATGTGAATAAGTCTTTCAATAATTGTTTATCCTGGGTAGTATTTTAATATAACTGTTAACATTAACGTTAACAGATGTTAACGTGCTGGATGTTTTAATGAAAGTTAAGACAGCACCCAACACCATCTCAGCAATGAATGATACAAACTACGTCAAGATCGTGTCGCCTCTTTTCCCCACTAAAGCTCTAGAAGCCTTCATGCTCTTCAACTTATTTTGTATAGAGATCACAGCCATCCTTGGCATTATAGGAAACGGCGTCAGTATTGTGGTGTTTGCCAGGCAGGGGTTTAAGGACAGCATCAACGTCACGTTGGCTGTACTGGCTGCCAGCGACATAGGGGCGCTGGTCACCAACCAGATGTTCGGGTTGCTGAACAACCCGTGGTTCCAGAAGTCCAACCTGCCCATCGACTACAGCGGCGTGGCCACCATGTTGGTGTACATCCCACACAACTACTTCTCCAGAGTGTGCGGGTTCGTCACCGCCTTCGCCTCGTTTGAACGCTGCCTGTGTGTGTTAGCGCCGCTTCAGGTCAAGCAGATTATCACAAGAAACGTCGCTATCGTCGTTAACGTTACTATCTGTGTACTGATGCTGCTAGACTTTGTACCCTCCTACTATATCTATTACCTAGACTGGGTTTTCATACCGGCAACCAACCAAACAAAGCTTCTCAAATTGTCACGCGTGGACCCTATCAACGTCTTCAGCAAATCTCTATACGTCACAGAATTCACTCTACCTTATCTGACCTTCTTCTTCATTATCATCACCACCGTCGTCATAGGTATACAGCTCAAGGGAAGGCTACTCTGGAGAAAAACTGTAACTTTAATAAACAAAGACGCGGGGTTTAAAAGTTTGAATAAAGAAATGCATGCAGTTCAGATGTTGGCGGTGGTGTCTGTGGTGTTCGTGGTGTGTCTGACACCCCAAACGTTGGTCATCACCATCGCCGCCTTGTTCCCTGAGGTCAGCCACTCAGAGATCTACTACAACATCTTTCTCTTCTGCTACAGCCTGTCGTACCTGCTGGAGACGGTCAGCTCTAGTGTCAACCCGTTGGTGTACTACAATATGAGTGGCCGGTATAGGAAGACTTTCTTTGTGGTGCTGGATGTGTTCTTTCATCTGCCTTAGTGCCCGTGGGAGGAGGGGTTGGGGGTGGGGTTGGAGGGGGTCAGTTCTAGCGTCAACCCGTTGGTGTACTATAATATGAGTGGTAGGTATATAGGTATAGGAAGACTTTGCGGTGCTGGGCGTTTTCTTACATTTGCAGTAGTGCCCATGGTTGGGGGGGGGGAGATCAATTGGGCGTGTTTTATGGCTAAAGTATAGTTGTAGATGCCTGCGTCACCCACTAGTTCATAGTGATCACTATCCCACACTGACAGACTCTACTACTTCAGTGACTTATTTGCGTTACGCTCTTCAACTCAGACTAACGTGCATACAAGTTTTTCTGCTCGGTGTTTTGTGTGTTTCGTCTATCGTGTGAAGTAATACGTATGAAATGATCCCTAGAGATCATATTTAGTTGATCCCTATAAGAGCTGGCATAAACATATGTTTGACACTTCTTAACATTCAATGTTAAAAGTGGCGTGGTGTGTACATGCGTGTGTGTTCCTTATAAATGTCTCTTACACGTGATGTAAAAAAATCTCTTAAATGTTTAGATACATGAAACATTATTTCACTTTTAGTTATTTTTATTAGAAGTTCATCGCATCAAAAATCCTTGGCGCCACATACACCTTACATCCTTACATATGTAGGTGTTTTAAATCACGTGATATAAGTGTAATACTTTAGCCCAAACTTACCTTAAGACACAAAATTCCAGTATAACAAAATCAATCCCATTACCGCTGTCTTTATCCCCAGTACGGGGTAGGGAAATGTTTGTCTAAAGAACATTCTGTTGAAGAAGTAAATAAAATTGTTTACATGTAACCTAAAAGATAATCTAAAACAGAAAACATTTGAAAGAAAACATCAGGATTTCATGTTAATTATCGCTGGATGAAATGCTTTCTACACCAGATACCATTTAATTTAACAAAGGAATAAACAATTTCTGTAAACATGGCTGATGAGTTTGTATTTTTGTTTAGTCTTTTAAACTACATTTACTATTTAGGCTAATTTGCTTTTAATTACAGTTTTAACTAACAGTTGTTTAATTCTATCAGCGTGTATTAAAGCTGTTACTGATGAGGGCCATTGGTCGAAACACTGTTGTTTTTGTTTCACAAAGCCTCAACCTTGTAGAGATAGTATATTTGTTTTTAAAAACAATGGTAAAAGCCTAGGTCCTCCCTCACCTTATATAGGTCAAATGTTATCGGGCTATAACATTTCCGAAGGTCTGTGATAACAAATAGCCTCGGGTCCATCCCTCGGCTTATATGGTCGTTATACGACTATAACATTTTAAAAGGTCAGCGATCACAAATAACCGCATGATTCATCAGCTAGGTGCAAGGTTTCTTTCACATACTTTCTTCCTGCAAAATTAATGAAGCGGAATTAAAACTTGCAGTACGCATTTAAAATTTCGGGGGGTGGGGGGGGGGGGTGTTGCTGGTTTAAGTATATTTTCTATAAAAAATAATTTTCACTCCGCTCGGGGGTGTGGGTAGATGCAGTGTTACCTCTCCCAACCCCCCCCCCCCTTCCCCTCCCAAATCCCCTACGATATGTCTGGAAGAAATTCTGCTTTGACCACTCGATAAAACACCTTTTGACTTGGATCCCCCCAGTAAAAACGACTGCACCGTTCTTGTTCCACAATTCCAAGCAACTTTGGCTAAACCTGGTCTATCGAAAACAAAATTGAAAAAAAAACACTCGCCAAAGCTATCACATTAGCATTACTTTGACTACATTATACTTTCACAGACCCCCCCCCCCCCCCCTTGTTTGTTCCTGTTGGCCTGAATCAGTAATTAATTATCATGAGTATTAGTGTCAGCGTTATAGTCAAACAATGAGGAAAAGGGGGGGGGGGGGGGGGGGAATTAACAATTCAAAACAGACACGAAGGACTAAAAACAACAATAACCAAAACAGACACGAAGGACTAAAAACAACAGTAATAAAAATAGAGAGATTAAATGGAATCAAGGAATACAACTTTAGAGCAAGAGAACGAATTTATTCTGCAACGTGCTATATAAAGGAGGAAACAATAATGTTAAAAGTCAACAGGAACATTTATTCAAGCATTTGCTGAAAATGATGTTGGTATTTCTTTGTTTACTTTTCAACTTCATCGTGACGTCAGCACAAAATAGTTGGTCCAGTAAGTTTTGAGTTTTTCGTTAATTTTGTGGTTCATTATTTTTTACAATTTGTTTTTAAATTTTATCGTTCATTATTTTTTTACTATTTGTGTTTAAATTTTATCGTTCATATTTTTGTACTATTGGTGTCTAAATTTGTGTTCTAAATTAAGAACAAATTCCTTTTCTCTTACATTCTATAATCACATCAAAAATATGTAAAATTGTATTGTGTAATTTTGTTAAATGCATGAACCAATTAGCAATTAAATAAAATCATCTATATCCCATAATTTACAATTTCTCATCTTGTTCTTAGTTGTAATACTAGAGTTCACTTTGACTACAATCTTCTTTTCTCTATAAATTTTCATCTATAACACGTATCAATCAGAAACGATCTTTACCACTTCCTTGCTTGAATAAACTATTTTAACCCTTAACTCACCATGAATGTTGTTTTAACGAACCCCCTTGTCAACCCCCTTTAACCCCCAGACGCCTGCTACAAAGACCTGGGATGTTTCTCTATTTTCGCACCATTTGGATTCACCCTACAGAGACCCCTGGCTCTCCTGCCACAGTCGCCTGATAGAATCAGGTACCAGAATATATGTCTTGTTGGATATCTATACCTACACTATAACTAATTGTCTTGTTATGTATCTATACCTAAACTAAAACTAAATATCTTGTTAGATATCTATCCCTACACTAAAACTAAATGTCTTGTTAGATATCTATCCCTACACTATAACTAAATGCCTTGCTAGATATCTATACCTACACTATAACTAAATGCCTTGTTAGATATCTATACCTACACTATAACTAAATGTCTTGTTAGATATCTATCCCTACACTATAACTAAATGCCTTGCTAGATATCTATACCTACATTAAAACTAAATGTCTTGTTAGATATCTATACCTACACTAAAACTAAATGTCTTGTTAGATATCTATACCTACACTAAAACTAAATGTCTTGTTAGATATCTATACCTACACTAAAACTAAATGTCTTGTTAGATATCTATACCTACACTATAACTAAATGCCTTGTTAGATATCTATACCTACACTAAAACTAAATAATTTGCTGGATATCTCTCTACCTACACTAAAACCCCACCCTGTCGCCTATCACCCTAACACTTATCCCCCCCCCAATCCCGTTTCTTAGTACCCTGACACTTAGACACCCCCCCCCCCCCACTCTGTCACCTAGCTCTTAACATATTGACCTCCCCCCCCCAACATTTCCCCAGCACCCTGTTCAAGCTGTACACCCGAGCCCAACCGGCAACTCCACTAGACCTGCCAGCCACACAAGTCAAGACAAGTCTCACCACCATCTGGCCAGGTTTTGTCTCACGACCGACCAAAATTATTGTACACGGATATCAAGACAATGTCGACGTAACTAACTGGGCAAAGGTCAGAGGTTAAGGTTAAAAATATATCATTAGATAATGAAAAATACGTCAACACAATTAAAATATCATCTACGATAACATCAAATGTGATTTCTATTGAAAATTTTCTTATCACGTACATCTAAATAACAAATCTACGCCTCTATGAGAATCTACAGCTCCACCAGGCACATGCAGTTCGACAACAATTTAATTATTGGTATGAACTGCGTTCTAAGGCAATATGTGCTCTATTTGGGCTGATTATCCCCCTTAGTTTTTTTTTCTATTATCTCCCCTGTTGCTTCACCTGGTGAAAGATGGCTGTTGCTCTAATTATCTCCCTAATTGTTTGAATAATCTCCCCAGTTGTTTCAATTGTAACACATATTGATTTCATTATCTGCCCTGTTTTCCAGCAGATGAAGGAGGATATTTTGCTCTAATTATCTACACTATTGTTTCATTTACCTCACCTGTTTCAGTTATATCTCCATGTTGTTTGAATGATCTCCCCTGTTGATACAATGATCTCCCTTATTGATTTAATAATCACCCCTGTTGTTTGAATGATCTCCCCTGTTGTTTCAGCAAATGAAGGACGAGCTATTGAAACAGGGAGACTACAACGTCATCCTTGTGGACTGGTCAGGGGGCAACAAACTGCCCTACACCCAGGCCACAGCCAATACAAGAGTCGTAGGGGCTCAGATATCTCAACTCATCAACCACATCAGTGTACGTACATTTTATTTTAACAGCTAATACAAGAGTCGTAGGTGCTCAGATAGCTCAGCTCATCAACCAAATCAGTGTACGTACATTTTATTTTAACAGCTAATACAAGAGTCGTAGGTGCTCAGATAGCTCAACTCATCAACCAAATCAGTGTACGTACATTTTATTTTAACAGCCAATACAAGAGTCGTAGGGGCTCAGATAGCTCAACTCATCAACCAGATCAGTGTACGTACATTTTATTTTAACAGCCAATACAAGAGTCGTAGGGGCTCAGATAGCTCAACTCATCAACCAAATCAGTGTACGTACATTTTATTTTAACAGCCAATACAAGAGTCGTAGGGGCTCAGATAGCTCAACTCATCAACCACATCAGTGTACGTACATTTTATTTTAACAGCCAATACAAGAGTCGTAGGGGTTCAGATAGCTCAACTCATCAACCAAATCAGTGTACGTACATTTTATTTCAACAGCCTATACAAGAGTCGTAGGGGCTCAGATAACTCATCAACCAAATCAGTGTACGTTGGTTGAACTGACTGTGATTAGAGCAATCACTGTTGTCAGACCTAAGATCTACATTGTTGAAGATGTCAAGCCTATATAGTTTTGGCTGTGGTAATAAAAATATAAAGACCTTTCAATGACAGAATTATATAAATCCTAACGTAGAACAAGTAAGAGGGGACAGTAAAAGACTTAAGAAGGAAGAAATCACGATATTTTCTGCATGGCCCGTGTTTGCTCGACGTGGTGAAAACAGTCTGGTCATGTCTAGTAAGAGAGTGGATATTTTAAAGATGTGTATCCCAGCCAGAGAGTGGATATTTTAAAGATGTGTATCCCAGCCACCCATGTAGGAAATAAAATGTATGCTACAAGCTGTACGTGCATTTTTTTAACAGTGGCCACCCTTCCCGAAAATTTTAGTCTGCGCCCCCCCCCCCCCCCCCCCCCAAATAAACATTAAGTACCACCCCCTGAGTAAAAATAATCTTGAAGAAACACTGTTGGACAAGTAATAATAGTAATTTTTAGTTTATATTTTGAAAATCAAAAAAACAATACACATGCAAAAATCAAAATGTTGTGTTATAGTTTATTACATTTGTGATTAGAATTCCTTTAGGTGAAAAAATACCAATGGATGGTTCCAGAAAAATGTGACGTTATTCCTTTCGTATCTTTAAAATTTGGATTCACATTTTATCAAAACATTTTTTACGTCACAGGCTAAATACGGTACACCAGCCAAAAGCTTCCACGTCATCGGTCATAGTCTGGGCTCTCACATCTCTGGTTACGCTGGGGAGAGGGTGCCAGGTTTGGGGAGGATTACAGGTAGGTTGGTAGGTGGGGAGTATTACAGGTAGGTTGGTGAGTGGGGAGGATTACAGGTAGGTTGGTGGGTGGAGAGGTTTACAGTTAGGTTGGTAGATGGGGAGGATTACAGGTAGGTTGGTGGGTGGAGAGGTTTACAGTTAGGTTGGTAGGTGGGGAGGATTACAGGTAGGTTGGTGGGTGGAGAGGTTTACAGTTAGGTTGGTAGGTGGGGAGGATTACAGGTAGGTTGGTGGGTGGAGAGGTTTACAGTTAGGTTGGTAGGTGGGGAGGATTTCAGGTAGGTTGGGGTGTGGATTACAGGTAGGTTGGTGAGTTGGGAGGTTTACAGGTAGGTTGGTGAGTTGGGAGGTTTACAGGTAGGTTGGTAGATGGGGAGGATTACAGGTAGGTTGGTGGGTGGAGAGGTTTACAGTTAGGTTGGTAGGTGGGGAGGATTACAGGTAGGTTGGTGGGTGGAGAGGTTTACAGTTAGGTTGGTAGGTGGGGAGGATTACAGGTAGGTTGGTGGGTGGAGAGGTTTACAGTTAGGTTGGTAGGTGGGGAGGATTTCAGGTAGGTTGGGGTGTGGATTACAGGTAGGTTGGTGAGTTGGGAGGTTTACAGGTAGGTTGGTGAGTTGGGAGGTTTACAGGTAGGTTGGTGGGTGGGGAGGTTTACAGGTAGGTTGGTGAGTGGGGAGTGTCACAGGTAGGTTGTTGAGAATGATGAATATAAACCTGTTTTAACCCTCCTTACTTTTTGTCTTAGTTTGTTGATAGAAAAAACGTGCATGAACATTTGTTTGATGTTTTATAATGATCACAAAATCCTAGAATGTGAACGATGTTTTTCATTATACATTTCCATCGTCATATAGGCATATCAAAATGTGTATGTAACTAACACATTTATAGATACTTTGCTGTTTTTTTGTTTGTTTTTTTTTTAGGTAAAATGCACTGTCAAAGATAAAATAGTTTATTAAATATATTAAAATTGTATTAGAGACTGTAAAAATGGGGTCATATATAACTTGAATTAGCTACTATTCACATCACTTAAGAACCACTGTTCTCTGTTCCACAGGTCTGGACCCCGCCGGCCCATATTTTGAGAACACTCCAGCCAGCATCAGACTTGACCCCACTGACGCGTTGTTTGTTGACGCCATCCACACTGACGCTGGGACTCTTCTCACAGCTAGTAGGTTAATCGTTTGCAAATGCGATAATAAAAAAGAAAAATATAAATAGTTTGTCCAGGATAGTTATTTATTTTCTAGCTGCTAAGCCTGATGAAAGACATGTAATAAATATTAATTTAAATTTTGTTAGATATTTAGTTATCTACGTCAGTTTTTAGGGATACAATGTTTTGAAACATGAGGCTTAAAAAAGAAAGACATACATAATTATGAAAAATTATTTATTACAAACTAATAATCAAACGAATTGTAATCGACTCGTTTAAAAATATTTAAAATCTCTCGAGTAACTTGAGTATGTGACAAATTAAATAAATCAATTATAATATAGGCATATAGGATATAATAAAATTATACAAAAATTATGATCATTAAAGTTACTCTTGAAAGGGATATCCATAATAATTATAAAAAGGTTATGCTGACTGGGTTTACTCATGAATATAACATACATATTTTTTTTAATGAGAAATGGTTTTAAATTGTTTAAAACGTTCATTCGCGAATACCACACAGACCTCGGCATCATGCAGGCTGTAGGTCACGTTGACTTTTATCCAAACGGTGGACACAATCAGCCTGGGTGTATCCAGTCTCCTATTACATCCATTGAGCAGTGGGGGCTTATTGATGGTAGGTGATGTGAAAGTGTGGGCTTATTGATGGTAGTGGTTGTGGGGGCTTATTGATGGTAGGTGATGTGGTAGTGGGGGGGGGGGGGGTATTAATGATATGTGTTGTGATAGTTGGGGCTTATTGATGGTATGTGTTGTGATATTAGGGGCTTATTGCTGGAAGGTGTTGTGGGAGTTTATTGATGGTAGGTGTAGTGGTTGTAGGTGTTGTGATAATGGGGGCTTAATGATGGTAGGTGTTGTAACACTTGGGACTTATTGATGGTAAGTGTTGTGGTATTGGGGGCTTGTTGATTGTAGGTGTTGTGATAGGGGAGGGGGCTTTTTAATGAAAGTCGACATAGTGGGAGCTAATTGATTTTAGGTGTTGTGACAAGGGCATAGACAGTAAAAAAAAACATATAATAGCATATCTCATATATATATATATATATATATATATATATATATATATATATATATATATATATATATATATATATATATATATATATATATTATATAACTGAATTGACTTTGTGTTACTATCCAAGGCGCTGTTGACTTTGTCATCTGTAACCACATGAGGTCCATCCACCTGTTCACAGAGAGCATCAACTCCAGCTGTCGCTTCAAGAGTTATCCTTGTGCTAGTGAACTCAACTTTGTGGTAAGTAGCTGAGTGTAATTGTACAACCACGATGAGTTAGAATGAACGATGACAAATGTAAAATGGTATTGAGTTCGTTATAATTTCCATTAACTCGAATCTTTTGAATGTGCCTAAGTCCGCCCTTCTTTGATTGAATCTGTCCACTCCTTATTCCTGTGTCTAACACAACTGCTATAATTAAAAACCTCCCCATCCCCTCCCCAGTTGGGTTGGTGTAACACATGTGGTGTGTCGGGCTGTGCCAACCTGGGATTCTGGGCCAAGCCAACGCCTGCTGGAAAATTTTTCTTGAAGACTGCTGGAAATCCGCCATTTTGTTTGGCTTAGTTGCAATCTGTTGACTCTTGTTAACGTAAAATAAACCAAAAAATTAATACTTGTTTTGTAGCTTGTTTTATGTTTAATTAGATTTATTTTAGCAATTTTCTGGAACCTCCTTACGATCGACTCGTGATTTCCTACTGCTACCATGGTATCCTCTTTACAGTAGGGCTGGTAAGTAGGTCATCAACCAGTTCTTCGGCTCAATAAAAACTGCATGAGCCATAGAACTGATTGGTGACCTACTTACCAGCCCTATACACCCCATCAAGCTGTAAGGCAATAGCTAGACTATATCTCAACTTGTTGACCTCTTCTCCGTGTTGTGTGTAGATTATAAACACCAAGTTTGTTTATGTATTCTTTAAATCAGGGGTCTCCAAACTAAGGCCCGCTGGCCGGATGCGGCCCGCGAGGTCCTTTCATCCGATCCGCGGAGATCTTTTTGTTCACGAAAAAAAGTTTGTTAGAAGTGGCTGAGGTACTTTGCTCAGAAAATTCAAAACAGTTTGAAAATCTACCTTTGGGTATAAATACCATTGCCCTCCGTGTTGCAAACATTGATGAAAACATTGTGACTCAAATAGAATCGCTGGACAGCTGTTCCATGTTTTTGGAGCAAGTACAGGGCAACAACTCGACGCACTTTCGCACTTTCAGCAGTGCAGAGTCTTCATGGCTGAAGCAATATCTGAGTTCCCCACATCATTTGCATGCAAGATCATCAAAGACCTCCAGCTGCAGTTTCAGTAACGGTTTTCTGACCAGGATTCAAAGGCAGAAGAAGTGAGACTGCTTCAAAACCCATTTGAAGCAAATGTAACCAGTTGCCCAGATGAACTGCAGATTGAGGTCATTGAATTGCAAGCAAATGACTTCCTTAGAGACAAGTTTAAAAAACGACGGGTGGGTTTTTGTGTTTGCCCAAGGAGAACAAACTTGGACCTGAAGTGTGTTGTCGGCCGGACAGTGTTTTTTTCAGACTTTTTCTCCTGGAAGGAGGGGGGGGGTTGCATTTAAAATGTGTTTATATTTCTATATAAATTCTATTTCTTTGGGGGGGGGGGGGCACGGTGAACACCGCCACCCCAAAGGATGCATGGAAGAAACTCTACTCTGGCCCGCAAACTGATATTTGATAGTTAATGCGGCCCTTGGGCTGAAAAGTTTGGAGACCCCTGCTTTAAATAGAAATCCGTCTCATTTTCTAACACTGAATCAGAGTCGTAGCGAGGAGGGGGGGGGCGGGAGGCGGACATATGTCCCCGGGCGCCGACCTTAAGGGGGGCGCTAAAATGGGTTGGAAAAACAAATTGAAAGTTTGAGAGGGGAGGGGGTGCAAATGAAAAGTTGGAGGGGGGTGGAAACCGAAAGTTTGTTCCAGGGCGCCGTGAAGGGTCGCTACGCCTCTGCACTGATTAGACTGAAACGATCGTTCTATTAGCCAGGTGACGGATGAGCTGATTTTAAGAATGTTTTTCTCGTGAGAGCCAACCACGGAGGTTAATAAGGGGCTGATCATTTTTTTTCTTAAAGGGGGCTTGTTTAGGATTGTATGCGAATATTCTAAGTCGTATGTGGTGACGATTTAAGACAAAAGAAATAATAAAAATAAAATACTCAATGTTTTAAGAACTTAAATATTGAATTTTTTTTTTAAATTTATAATTTTTAACAATTTATAATTTATATATTTATGAATTTATAAAATGTATAACTATAATTTATAAAACTAGAACATAAAACAAATATAAAGGTTTTTCAAAATAATACGCTGCACTAAAAATATAAACGAATAAAACAAACATGCTTTATTTATTAAAAGCATTATAACACCCAAAGCTTTTACTAAAGATATTAAATGTCTTATGTTGTAGTGCATTAAAGCTTTCTATATAATTTTTTATAATATTTTTGTGTACAATTCAAAATATTGACCTTACATAATCTACCACACGAGCATAACTCTCACTTCAAAAACCAGCCATTATCTCCCCCAAAATCTACGTAGTTATTCAGACGACAGGATCAAATGAAAGCATGTTCCGCTATGTTGCTGCTACTTATTTCTTCCTCTGATCTTGTGGAGTGTTTGAGTTAGTGCACCGTGGCCAACAGATGTCGACTCTACAGTGTTCAAGAGAAAAACCAAAGGCCATTCAAGTGAGAAATACAAAATCAGGGGCAGAGCTAGACACAAACCCCCCAATACACCGACAAGAAATTATGGACCGCCAATTTTACTTTAAACATTATATAAAAATAAATTATAAATATATATATATATATATATATATATATATATATATATATATATATATATATATATATATATATATATATATATATATATATATATATATATATATATATATATATATATATATATATATATATATATATATATCTTTAGTTACACACGTAGTTCTTTTTGTTACACATATATATCAAGTGGTAAGTAAAATCTCATTTAGAAGTTACATTTTTATGGGTCATATTGTCGGGAGCCTATATGTTGGTCTCAAGGGCGGAGAAAAGCGATTTTAGTGCCACACATTATCAAATTCGTTTTTTTAAAGACACACAAATCTATATGCAACGTCCATTATATTTAAATGGACAGTCTTCAGCCAACGCCCAGTACAGCTTGTTCGACTTAAAAGGGCCCACCATTTCGTATCTAGGCCCAACGAAAAGATGACCTATCCTCTCTAATCAAGGCTTATTAGAAGTAGAGGACCACGGATTCAAACCTAAGCCAATCAGGACCATTAACGGGAACCTATCATCTTGAGCATGGACACAAGAACCCACCATATTTATCTAAACACGCCTAGCAGTTAAGGGAGAAAGGGAGACCAACCGTCTAAAACAACGTCCCATGAAAGGGCATACCGTCTCTTATAATCGTAGACTAAAAATAAAAAAGCCACTGCTATAACTATAATGTATTTTTACACACACGAACATTCAAATATTCAGAATGATTAAATTTTGAAATGAAAATGTTGACTATTTACGGTTGGGTTATGGGACCACTAGAATTCTCGACTATGTCGCCATTTGAATCTACCCCCCTCCCCAATCCGTTCGAGGTGCGTGGTTCTGCGGTATCGTAGTTCCACCCCTGTGGCAAAGAGAATTTCTTTTTAACAACTACAAAGGGCAACTTAAAGTGATTTCGTATAAATGTTATATAAAGGAAAAAAAAAGCATTTTACGCCAGAGAGATTTTTTGTTATTTGATGGTAGTTGTACGTATACGTACTTGTTTCTCTAAATATCTAAATACATATACATAATTATAATTATATACATATATATATAGGCTATATATATATATATATATATATATATATATATATATATATATATATATATATATATATATATATATATATATATATATATATATATATATAGGCTATATAATGCTATAAAATGAGATTTGTACTGTTTAATACTCTAGGAGAGAGAGCAAGATTTAAAAAATGCAGTCGAGTTTGTTTTGTGTACTTCTAAACATCTTAGTGATTACAGCCCAGAATAGTTTGTTCAGTAAGTTTTAAAAGTTTGATTTTTTTTGTTGCATACATTTGTTCAGTAAGTTTTAAACGTTTGATTTATTTATTACATACATTTGTTCGGTAAGTTTTAAAAGTTTGATTTTATTGTTACATATATTTGTTCAGTAAGTTTTGAAATTTTTATTTTTTTGTTACATTTGTTCAGTAAGTTGTCTAAGTTTGATTTTATTGTTTCTAACATTTGTTCATTAAGTTTTGAAATTTTGGTTTTATTGTTACATATATTTGTTAAGTAAGTTTTAAAAGTTTGGTGTTTGATTTTTTGTTAGCAGATACGTTTGCAATAATTATTTTTACACTATCGCCTGAAAATAAAAACAGCAAAAAAATTGATTTTAGATCAAGTTCATAAAACAATGTCTGGAAATTTTTTTTGCTCTGTGTAAAGATCGCTTTCAACGGTTTGAATTGTATTAGCACATGGTCACCACTATATACTGAAAGTTATTACAACAAAAAATATTTTAAAATTATGGAAGCTTTGGACCAGGTTTCTATTTTTGACGTTTGAAAATTGTATTAAATTGTTCTGTGTTTTACATTTTAAAAAAAATCATCTAGTCCTACGCCTATCTGACTCCAATAATAGCAGCAAAAACTATAGTTAGACTGCGCTAATCCATTGCTTCCTCTCTAGGTTATTCACATGTATTGCTTAGTTATGCGAGCAAGCATAAATCGTGCACCGGAATTATCTTCACGTCAAACCAAACAGTAGCTGTTTCTGTCCTGACCAGATTATACCCTAAATAAAATATGTAATCCTCAGACGTTTGCCATGGTGACCTGGGATGCTTCTCTATTCTCGCACCTTTTGGCTTCACCCTAGAGAGACCCCTGGCTCTCCTGCCACAGTCACCTGATACGATCAAGTAAGATAGTATTTTTTTCCTTGTCCCTTACATATTCCCACATTCAAGCTATTTAATAATTCAATTTCATCCTATAACTTTTTGCGTATAATAATTTTGACATGTATTTAAACCAGGGTTATATTAATGCTATAAGTACACCTTTTGATGCATTAATATATGGATACGCCTGCTAGCTATTGCTTGAATGTGTTGATTTCTGCTTAAAAATAAACTCCGACAGAACTATTTTAAAACTTTTTACAGTATTCTGTAATATTTATCTCGATTTCAATATTTGATAGATTTACGATGTATGCATTCTTTGAATTACAATTACATATCTAAACCGTTTTTTTTTTAACGAATTTGTACTTTGCTACACCCTTAATTCTTCACCGCACCCAATATTTCCCCAGCACCCTGTTCAAGCTGTACACCCGAGCCCAACCGGCAACTCCACTAGACCTGCCAGCCACACAAGTCAAGACAAGTCTCACCACCATCTGGCCAGGTTTTGTCTCACGACCGACCAAAATTATTGTACACGGATTTTTGGACTCAGTCGACCTAACAAGCTGGGGAAAGGTTATTTGAAAATACGGTTAAAATTTGAATGTAAAAATTGGAAATATTCATTTAATACGCATTAAAATGTAATGTTTTTCGAATTAAATGTTTCCAAACTCAATGAAGTTCAAATTATCTGGTAAGTGGGTTTTAGAAGATATTTTCGTATACGGGTAAATTAAATAAGGCGGAGGTCACTCGCGGACAGTTGTCACTCCCTTGTTAAAGAGGGTGGAGCTACTACTAATGTCTCTGAAGCCTCTCTCATTTCTTTTCAATTTTTTTTTTTTTTTTTTAATTTGCAATTAAAACAAGTACATCAACATAAAAAATTTTAACATATTGTTTACCGGTGCATCAAACCAGAACTCGAACAAAATGTTATATTCTTGAATGTCATTGATGAACATGTTTTTTTTCCTTAATATATGTCTGCATCGTTATATTCTGAAGGATACTGCAAATTTTAATAAGATAACTTTTTATTTCCAATAATTGTAACTATGTATCCACTGTGTCATTTCAGTTTTGATTAATATGTCTTATTTTTTAAAATAACTTTTTATCCATTTATCTCTCAAGTTGTTTCAATTATCTCCCCTATTGTTTTTTAATCTCCCCTGTTTCAGTTATCTCCTCTGTTGTTTGAATGATCTCCCTCTGTTGTTTCAGCAAATGAAGGACGAGCTGTTGAAACAGGGAGACTACAACGTCATCCTTGTGGACTGGTCAGGTGGCAACAAACTGCCCTACACCCAGGCCACAGCCAATACAAGAGTCGTAGGGGCTCAGATAGCTCAACTCATCAACCAGATCAGTGTACGTACATTTTATTTTAACAGCCAATACAAGAGTCGTAGGACTCAGATAGCTCAACTCATCAACCAAATCAGTGTACGTACATTTTATTTTAACAGCCAATACAAGAGTCGTAGGACTCAGATAGCTCAACTCATCAACCAAATCAGTGTACGTACATTTTATTTTAACAGCCAATACAAGAGTCGTAGGGGCTCAGATAGCTCAACTCATCAACCAAATCAGTGTACGTACATTTTATTTTAACAGCCAATACAAGAGTCGTAGGGGCTCAGATAGCTCAACTCATCAACCAGATTATTGTAAGTTTAAAGTTTCCCTTTCAAACCTGACGGTCTATGGGGCAAGTAAAGTAGAGTTCACTTGTTTCTGTGACCTCGGCATATGAAGAGATAGTGTGGTCAGCAATATTCCCAGCCGCTGTAAGTTTAAACTGATTGTTAATTCCTTTGTTCGAACCGAGATCAACAGCCGGGATAGGCCATGCAAGTTTTCAGCTGAGGCCTATAATGTAGTTAATTACCTGCAAAAGTGAGAAACTTGCAATGTGTTAGGGTATAAACCTCGTGATTTTAAGAGAAAAATCTGAATCTCTTGAGCAATCTAGAGTTAGGTGATCTATATTACTAATTCGGTTATTTAATTAAGACTCTCAGTATCTGTATGTTTAAAAAATATGGATTCCGGCCACAATTTAAATTTCAGGCCATTAAATCTGTTGCACTTTTTGCAAATAAAAGGCTACAAATTATGCAAACATCAAAATGAAATGCTTCACAAAATATGAAACACGATTAATTCTGTTGTGCGACTATGTTACTTGTAGGTTCAGTAAAATTGAAGCTACTACTTTTCGTACATTTGAAACTTACGTTGTTGGTTTTTATCAATTGTGTTTATCACGTGACAGGCTACTGTCAACACACCAGCCAAAGACTTCCACGTCATCGGTCACAGTCTGGGCTCTCACATCTCTGGGTACGCTGGGGAGAGGGTGCCAGGCTTGGGGAGGATTACAGGTAGGTTGGTGGGTGGGGAGGTTTACAAGTAGGTTGTGGGGAGGGTCACAGGTAGGTTGTGGGTGGGGAGGTTTACAGGTAGGTTGGTGAGTGGGGAGGTTTACAGGTAAGGTGGTAGGTGGGGAGGTTTACATGTTGGTTGGTGAGTGGGGGGTTTATAAGTAGGTTGGTGAGTGGGGAGGTTTACAGGTAGGTTGGTGAGTGGTTTACAGGTAGGTTGGTGAGTGGGGAGGATTACAGGTAGGTTGGTGAGTAGGGAGGATTACAGGTAGGTTGGTGAGTGGAGAGGTTTACAGGTAGGTTGGTGAGTGGATTACAGGTAGGTTGTTGAGTGGGGAGAGTTACAGGTAGGTTGGTGAGTGGGGAGGTTTACAGGCAGGTTGGTGAGTGGGGAGAGTTACAGGTAGGTTGGTGAGAATGGTGTATATAAACCTGTTTTAACCCTTCTTACTTGTTCTTTTAGTTTGTTGATAGAAAAACGTGCATGAACATTTGTTTGATGTTTTATGATGATTACAAATTCCTAGAAAGTGAACGATGTTTTTCATTATACATTCCCATCGTCATATAGGCCAATATCAAAATGTGTATGTAACTAACACATTTATAGATTCTTTGCTGTTTGTTTTTTGTGTTTAGGTAAAATGCACTGTCAAAGATATTAAAATTGTATTAGAGACTGTAGAAGTTGGGTCATAAATACCCTGAATTAGCTACCACTCACACCACATGAGAACCACTGTTCTCCATTCCACAGGTCTGGACCCCGCCGGCCCATTTTTTGAGAACACTCCAACCAGCGTCAGACTCGACCCCACTGACGCCTTGTTTGTTGACGTCATCCACACTGACGCGGGGACTCTTCTCACAGCTAGTAGGTGAATTTGTTCAAAATAAGTCGTTACTTTAAAAAGATAGTTCATCATTTCTAAATACAATAATACGTCAATTGCATATGATATAAACTTTCTTCAGCTTACAAGGATAAATTTATTATACAAGATACGTAGGCTACCTGAAATATGAAGACTGAAATATGAAAGCAAATATTTTTCAAAGTAAATTGTACTAAATATTTGATCTATAAGAAAAAACGATAACAGTAAAATAGAAGTTTAAGCAAATGAATGTATAAACAGTACTACTTAGCGCCATGCCTCAACCCTCAACACATTCTATTCATATATCTTATCAAACCATTTCAAACCTGTACCCTAGTTACAGTATAGCACACCAATATTAATACTAACTGTATATCTTTCAAGAAGACTTACCACATTACAAAATCACAAGTATAAGCATGTAATCTATTTAATTTTACGTATCCTAAAAGCAGAATTATTGTACTATTACAGTTTATTTATGTACTATGTAAAATCACGAAACATGGGTTTTTTTGAAAAATCATTTACTAACGACGACCTTTCTTGTACAGATCTGGGCATCATACAGGCTGTAGGTCACGTTGACTTTTACCCTAACGCTGGACATAAACAGCCTGGATGTATCAAGTCTCCTATTACATCCATTGAGCAGTGGGGGCTTATTGATGGTAGGTGTTGTGGTATTGAGGGCTTATTGATGGTAGATATTGTGTAGGCTTGTTGATGGTAGATATTGTGGAGGCTTATTGATGGTAGGTGTTGTGGTATTGGGGGCTTATTGATGGTAGGTGTTGTGGTATTGAGGGCTTATTGATGGTAGGTGTTGTGTAGGCTTATTGATGGTAGATATTGTGGAGGCTTATTGATGGTAGGTGTTTTGGTATTGGGGGCTTATTGATGGTAGGTGTTGTGTAGGCTTATTGATGGTTTGTGATGTGGTATTGGGGGCTTATTGTTGGTAGGTGTTGTGGGGTCTTATTGATGGTAGGTGTTGTGGGGTCTTATTGATGGTAGGTGTTGTGGGGTCTTATTGTTGGTAGGTGTTGTGGGGTCTTATTGATGGTAGGTGTTGTGGGGCTTATTTATGGTAGGTGTTGCGGGGGCTTATTGATGGTAGGTGTTGTGGGGTCTTATTGATGGTAGGTGTTGTGGGGTCTTATTGATGGTAGGTGTTGTGGGGTCTTATTGATGGTAGGTGTTGTGGGGCTTATTGATGGTAGGTGTTGCGGGGGCTTATTGATGGTAGGTGTTGTGGGGTCTTATTGATGGTAGGTGTTGTGGGGTCTTATTGATGGTAGGTATTGTGCGGGCTTATTGATAATAGGTGTTGGGATAGTGGGGGCTTATTGATGGTAGGTGTTGAAGGGGCTTATTGATGGTAGGTGTTGTGGGGGCTTATTGATGGTAGGTGTTGTGGGGGCTTATTGATGGTAGGTGTTGTGGAGGCTTATTTATGGTAGGTGATGTGGGGTCTAATTGATGGTAGGTGTTGTGGGGGCTTATTGATGGTAGGTGTTGTGGGGCTTATTGATGATAGGTGTTGTGGTAATGTCATGTCATGTTTGCCTGTCGTCCCTACTGGGACATAGGCCGCTGACAAGAGCTTTCCAGGCGTCTCTGTCCAGGGCTAGTCTCTCCAACTGTCCCCAGGTGTATCCAATCTTCTTGGTGTCTTCTTCCAGGTCACGTCTCCAGGTCTTTCTTGGTCTGCCTCTCTTCCTCCTGCCTTGTGGATTCCAGGTGAGGGCCTGTCTTGTTATGCTGGATACAGGCTTCCTGAGTGTGTGGCCAATCCATTTCCATTTTCTCTGGAGGATCTCTACTTCAACTGGCAGTTGATTTGTCCGTTGCCATAGAACATCATTTCTGATGGTTTTAGGCCAGCGAATTCGCAGGATCTTTCTGAGGCATGCGTTTATAAATGATTGTATTTTCTTCTTATTTATAGCAGTTATTCTCCATGTCTCGGCTTCATAGAGTAAAACAGGTTTTACTAGTGTGTTGAAGATCCTGATTTTTATTCCAAGGGTTAAATCTCCCGAACCCCAAACATTTTTTAGTTGGTTGAAGACTGCTCTTGCCTTACCCGTCCTTATTTTTATGTCTGCTTCTGTCCCACCCTGCTTATCAACAATACTTCCAAGATAGGTGAATCTATCCACTTCTTCTAGGGCTTCTTCTGCCAGTGTTATAGGGTTGTTGTTTGATGGTAGGTGTTGTGGGGGCTTATGGATGGTAGGTGTTGTGGGGGCTTATGGATGGTAGGTGTTGTGGGGGCTTATGGATGGTAGGTGTTGTGGGGGCTTATTGATGGCAGGTGTTGTGGGGGCTTATCGATGGTAGGTGTTGTGATAGTGGAGGCTTATTGATGGTAGGTGTTGTGATGTTGGGGGCTTATTTATCGTAGGTGTTGTGGGTTTTTTTTTATGGTAGTTGTTGTGGGAACTTAATATGGTAGGTGTTGTGGGGGCTTTTTGATGGGCTTTTTGGTGGTAGGTGTTGTGTTATTGGGGGCTTATTGGTGGTAGGTGATGTGACGCCCTTGTCTAATTTACATTTTAGGAGCTATTGATTTAGTCATCTGTAACCACATGCGAGCCATCAGACTGTTTACAGAGAGCATCAACTCTGGCTGTAGCTTCAAGAGTTATCCTTGTGTTAGTGAGATCGCCTACTTGGTGAGTACTAGGGTTGCAGGGCTAGTTTTTGTTATGTTGGATAGAATTTAATTTTTTTATAAGCTTAAACAAATCGCATAGTATATTAATATATGTATATACGTATATATATATATATATATATATATATATATATATATATATATATATATATATATATATATATATATATATATATATATGTGTGTGTGTGTGTGTGTGCACGTGTGTGTGTGTGTGTGTATTTATAGACACACACACACACATATATATATATATATATATATATATATATATACATATATATATATATATATATATATATATATATATATATATATATATATATATGTGTGTGTGTGTGTGAGTGTGTATTTATAGACACACATACATGCCCAAGTAAAATGTCATGCCACCCGTGTGTGAAATGGTGTGGTTGGGAAGTAAAGTACACGAAAACTAATCGATTAGCCTCGAGTTTGATTCAGGTTTTCGAGTCCTTAAAATATACCTGAACCCCCTTGACTAGTGCTCAAAAAAAGGCTACTGCGCATGTGTACAGTTAAGCTGTGGCATTACAAATTACAACCAGTGCAACAGATGAACCTGTTCTTCATCTGCCTATTGACCATTTTACTTTACTTATACTTTCTTCTATAGTTAGACACCGTGTTTTACTCGTGATATGATTTGTTATTGTGTGTGATTATTTGTAAGAATGAAGATATATGTGGTTAGGTTAAATCTACAATGCAATAAAGAAGCTCTATACTTCTAATATTTAACACATTGCTGTAACCAATTAACTTTACCTCCCTAAAGCTGTGGCACACATGTGCACAGGTTGTGTTAAAATTTACTATTAAATAATTAAACTCTATAGTTAAAATGTTTACAACGATACATCAACTTTCCCTCCTTAGTTTGGCTTTTGTTACAAGTGTGGAACGGTTGTGTTAAAATTTACTATTAAATAATTAAACTCTATAGTTAAAATGTTTACAACGATACATCAACTTTCCCTCCCTAGTTCGGCTTTTGCTACAAGTGTGGAACGGTTGTGTTAAAATTTACTATTAAATAATTAAACTCTATAGTTAAAATGTTTACAACGATACATCAACTTTCCCTCCCTAGTTCGGCTTTTGCTACAAGTGTGGAACGGTTGTGTTAAAATTTACTATTAAATAATTAAACTCTATAGTTAAAATGTTTACAACGATACATCAACTTTCCCTCCCTAGTTCGGCTTTTGCTACAAGTGTGGAACGGTTGTGTTAAAATTTACTATTAAATAATTAAACTCTATAGTTAAAATGTTTACAACGATACATCAACTTTCCCTCCCTAGTTCGGCTTTTGCTACAAGTGTGGAACGGTTGTGTTAAAATTTACCATTAAATAATTAATCTCTATAGTTAAAATGTTTACAACGATACATCAACTTTCCCTCCCTAGTTCGGCTTTTGCTACAAGTGTGGAACGGTTGTGTTAAAATTTACTATTAAATAATTAATCTCTATAGTTAAAATGTTTACAACGATACATCAACTTTCCCTCCCTAGTTCGGCTTTTGCTACAAGTGTGGAACGGTTGGTTGCGCCTACGAAGGTTTCTGGGCTACCCCAAAACCTGCTGGAACATTTTACATGAAGACTGCTGGAACTCCGCCATTTTGTTTGGTTTAGTAGCCGTCAGTTTAGGATTGTTTAGATAAATGTCACATCACTTGTTATGTTTTGTGTGTAAAATATTGTGTCATTAGATTTTATATTTAGAAACAATTGGTTGAAAAACCCCCAATAACTCAATAAATCTTAATATACATCTATATATATAATTCTCTTCTGTGAGACGCTAGAAAACAAGCTGTAAGCGCGCTCCCTACCACCCCACCCCTACACGGTCTGGTGAGCTGTGGTTCACGCTA